CACTCAGGAGGACAGATCCCAGGAAGATGGCAGTGGAAGGCCGGGTGAGGTCAGGCCAGTGAGCTGACAGCACCTGCTTGTGGGCTCTGCATACAAGCCGGGCCCTCTGTAAGGGGCTGGTGTGACCCGCATCACCCTCATGCCTCGCAGTGCCGTCTCCTGCCTACAGCTCTTCAGGAGACTGTCATGTGCTAAGCCGTGGCTTAGAGCCAGGGTCAGAGTGAGGAGTCCATCACCTTCCTGGCTGTGTGGCCACCCCACCAGCTTACTCTGTGGTGGCCGCTTCCCCTGAGCAGCCTGTCTCCCTGAGCAGCAGCACACAGTCTGCACAGGAGCCCGAGCAGGGGGCTCTGACCGTATGCCTGCTGCCTGGGCGCAGGGCTGCGGTGAGGTCGCGTGCTGGGACGCAAGTGCTCCAGTCCCTCCCCGCCTCCCTCTTCCCTCACACCTCAGCATGGACCTACTTGTTTCCTACAGAGCAAGAGAAATAGTGGTTGTTTCTCCAAGGATTGAAGTTCACATTTTGAGTATCAGCTGGCTTATCTGTGCCACAGCTAACTAACAGATAACAATTTTTTTTGATTGCTATAAAGCAACTCAGTCCAAATTACTTTCTCATGGTTTACCAGAATCTGGCAATAAAAATACCATCAAAGGCTCACAGAATATGAAAAGGTTGGACTCTAGAAAACATTCTGGAGCTGTTTACCAGTCGTGAACAATTTCTGTCCTCCACATTAAGTCCCGTCCACCCTCAGCTGGATGCTGGGATGTTCTCCAAGCGCTGTCCATCCCTGTCGCAGGCAGCAGCCCGGCGGGTTCACTTTGTGGATTTGGGTGGCCAGGTTTTATTATTAATAATAAACTGTGTATAGCTGGGTACTTGGCAAGCTCACACAGGCTCTGCAGCCATAGCGTGGTTTTGTGGTGAGAGGCAGGGCTGGCAGGCTGCAGCGGTGAACACCCCTGGGGGGCCTTTAGGTCAGGGTCCGGGGCACCTCCCCTGTGGCGGGATCTTGTTGATGCCGGTTTAAGGCACAATCGAGGACAGAGCAAATGACTCAGGGCACCTCCATTTTTAAGGGTTTGCAATTGAACTGCAAAACATCTGCTATTTAGTTTCTTGGGGTTTTGTTTTAAATGAGATTCTTACTAAACATTTTATTAAAAGTTTTGTTAAATTTATAAACATTTTGAGTCTAGATGATTCTGCAGTTTTACTTATTGCTATCAAACAGTATTAGAAATTTGGTAAAACAATGAATTCTTACAGCTTGTGACTGTTTTCACTTCTATAGCAGGTCACACTTGCCAGGTTTTATTCATTAATTACTGACACTTAGGAGTCTCAGCAGCCCTGTCCAAGCCGAGGCAGGTGTGCCTCGGAGCCAACAGCTGGCAGGGCACAACACTACTCCCCACAGGCACAAGCTCAGTCCCGGGGGCCAGGGCAGCTGCTGGGGACAGTCTAGCATGCTGTTTAAACCTGGCGTGTGGGCCGGGATGCAGCTCAGAGGGAGAACGCTTGCCCGGCATGCTCAGAACCCTGGCTTCAACACCCAGCACCACGAAAATAACGATGCAGACAGGCAGCAGAAGGCTAGTCTAGAAGGTCAAACGCCTTTTTGGAAAGTAACTCTTGTCCCACTGTAAAGCTGTGCCTTCCTCGCAGCCAGGTGAGGTTCAGGAGGAGTCCGTCTTGGGAAGCCATGCTGGACCTCTGTGCCACTTGTCCCATGCAGCATGCCTAGGGGCCTGGTCACCCAGCGCCTTCTGGGGACCCACTTTTGACCAGCAGCAGCCCTCCCTGCCCGCCTGCCCACCCAGCACCAGCCGGGTTCCTGTTCCTCCTCTCCTGCCTGGCCTGCTGCTAAACCCCCTACCCTGGCCTTTTTCCCTCCACCTCTGCAGCTGAGTGGCTGCGTCTCACTCACTTCCCTGTCCCTCTCAGCTAATGTGAGAGTCTGTCCAATAGATGAATGAAAAGCAACAGGCGGGAGGATCATTGCGAGTTCGAGGCCAGCCTGGGCTACAAAGTGGGCTCAAGGCCAACCTGAACTGCATAGCAACACCCTGTCTCAAAAAGACGGAAAAAAAAAAAAAGAAAGGAAAAAAGAAAAAGGAACATTTGAGAAATGTGCTGTCTACTTACTGAAGGATTTTTAATGCTGGAACTTTCCTATAAGTGGAGAAATCTAGACAGATGAGTATGTGGCAAGGGAGAAGCAGGATGGGGATCACAGTCTTCCTCTCTTCATTCTCACTCTATGGAGTCAAAAGAACAAAAAGAGACTTCTAATTGTGTTCAAAGGTCAGGACCACAGGCTGCGCTGGTGTTCTGGCCAGCTGTGATCTACTTGTTCGTGATTGGACTGTAATTCACACGTCTTACTGCCAGCCAGCTTGAACCACTGCTGCTGCAAGATGGCAGGACCTTGCTAAGCTTTGGTGTGCCTCAGGTGGTGTCTCCCAGGCAGTGCAAAGATGCAGCTTCTCTGTAGCACAGCTGGTCTGCATTGTGAGGTTGTGGCTCCCCTGAGTGAGCCCACACCCCTGTGGTGCTGAGGCTCCCTGGAGGGGCCTGGGACCTGCAGGACAAGGTTGCTACTCCCCACAGACGTGGGGCACACCGCTGGGCCTGTGCTCCCCAAGGGTAGCTGTGTCTACCCCATCTGGGGGCCATTCTCTAAGGACGGAAGCCAGTGGACACAGGCTAGTTTACCAAGAGGCTGAGAGGCCTGGAAGGGCCTGAGGGGTCACCCCCTCTCAGTGTCTGTTAGGGCTGACATCACTGCAGATGCCACCATCCTTCTCTTGTCACCATCCCCACCGTGCGGCCAACGCTCTCTCAGCACTGTCAGCGGCACTGGGTGGTTCCACTAGGAAAACCAACCACTTTGTCAGTGCGAAGGTGAAAGGAAGCTTCTTGTTTCCTTTTTCACTTCTTTTAGCAGAAGGTAAGTTCATTGCCCATACCTAATTGGCCAGCTTGCATTGCACCTTTTCCTGTTACTCTTCTGTGGCTTTTGCTCGCCGTCTCCTACCACCTGGCATTTCCTTTGTTTCTGGCTGCTTCATAAGTCTATAGGGTCAACCTTCTGCAAGGGTTGTATCACCGTGTATTTGTTCAGAACTAGCCTATGGCTCTCAGGAGCACCCGAGACTGTCGGGGAACATTCCATTGGAGCGCGTGTCCTGTAGCAAGTGGGCCCCCAGTGAGTCCACCTGTAGATGGAAAGACGTCAGGCTGCATTGCTGATGAGTAGTGTCACAGTCTCATGACAGATACCCTGGAAGCAGAGCCCCAGTGTTACATGCTGACTTGCTCTGTCTCCAGTCCCGGGTCCCTCCCATGCACCTTTGCATCTGCGGGAGAGCCTGGCTGCAGACAGGACCTCCCTGACATGCCTGTCCTCAGCAACACAAGCTGGGGCCCCCGTGAGCTGCTCCTCCTGAGTTGTGTGCTCAGCTCTGTAGTGGCTGCAGACCAGAGCCTGTGCTGTGTGCTGCCTCCTGCCTGTGTCCTCTGAGCTGAGCTCTTTCCTGAGGTTCCAGGTCCTGTTGCAGCCCGGCTGGACTCTCTCTCCAGGGGACCTTGTCCTCCCACCATCACATCACCAACGTAGGACTGTGCTGTGCAGACCTCAGAAGGATGTATAACTAGAGTAACACTTGGTACCTTGAATGTGTGATAAAAGATAGCCTGGAAAATAGTTTATCTAGTGATACTAATAGCATACTATCTGTTTGTGAAAATATCTGTAGAACCTCTTAACAGCAAGATTGATTTCAGGTGTATTAGTGTGACACTTGGAACAGATAGTAGCAGCAAATGAATGAATAAAAATCCCACAGCAGAACAAGAAGGGTAGACTGAAAATGACTTTTGTAATCAAACTTTCATGGGGGGCTTTGGCTGTACTGGTAATGAACCCAGAGCCTTGCACATGTGACCTAAGTGGTACAGCACTGAGCCACACCCAAGTTATCAAACCCTTGCAAAGAAGACAAGCTTCAAGGGAGTGGCAAAAGTCACAAAGGAAAATCTAGGATAGACTTCGTGAAAGCAAGCATACAGACATCAGGACACCCAGATTTTAAAAGGAAACAGAGATGAGGGCAGTGTATGCACATGCAGAACAATGAAGAGCAGGCCCAGGCTCAACCTGCCCTGACCTCAACTGAGATCGCTTCTGCCTCACCTGACTGCTGGTTTCCTCCCCCAGCAACCTGGGGATGGGAATCACTGTGTGTCTCTCTTCATGTAGGGTTTAGTGTTCCAGTGCTGGAGTATCATGGGCACTCAGTAAACTTATTATTACAGAAAACGGGGTGCAGCTCAAGTGCATAAAACCTGTGCACAACCCTGCCACCTGGCTATGCCCACACAGCATGGAAGCACTGCTGAGCAAAGTCAGCAGGACATAAAGAGCATCGCAGGACAGAAGTTGTGATCAGGGACACCCAGCCATGCAGCCAGACCTCTCAGTGTTGAGTGGGGACCCAAGTGCTGGGGAGCGGGCAGCTGTCCCGGTGCCCATGGTGGAAGGAAAATTGGCCAGGGAAGAGCAGGTTTAGAAAGCAGTTTAGCGAGGTATGCCAGAGCTGTCTTCAGTTCATGAGATAGAGCCATTTTTCTCATCTCTGCTAAACGAGTAGTTCTGAACGTGGACAATGCCATCTGCTCCGCAGTGTCCATTGCAAGATGGCTTGTGACAGCAGCTGAGGTCACCCAGGCAGAGCACAGTTTTGTATGACTGTGTTCCCTCACCACACAAGGTCTTATGGACCTTTAAGAGTGCTTTTTGAGTACTGTGGGACCCCTGGGAAAACACTAAGGTGCTCCTTAGTAGCAGACTCATACGAATGTGCCGTTGTGGCTTGGTGCAGCTCTGGAATGCAGGCTAACATGCAGGCAGGCCTTGGGGCCTAGAAGAGTGTGGGTCTTTTGGTCTGTTTCTCAGATTTCTGGTTTTCTTTCATGGGGCTTCCAACGGCAGTCACTGCTACCACAAGGATATGCCAGAGCCCATGGCTGCCTCCCATCATGGTCTGCACTGTGGAGTCCACTCCTGTGCATCTTGTGCCAGGTCAGAGAGGAAGGGCTGCCCTCTGGCCCTGGGAAAGCCACACTGCTGTGCCAGCCACAGTGCTGGTGGACAGCCTCCCTGTGGTGTGGCTTGGTCCCTCCCCGTCCCTGTGGGGGATGTGCCCGTGGGTGGATGCTGTGCTGTGCAGAACCTTCTCTCCTAGAGTCCTCTTCTCGGGCAGCAGTGGGAAGGGGATCCCCGTCCTTCCTGTGAGGGTGCCAGCTGCCTTGCCTTCAGGAGAGGTGATGTCAGCTGACAGCAAATCCCCCCGCCCCCGGGGGTTCAGTCTGCATCTTGAATAGGACGCAGTGTGCAGCCTCTGGGGGAGAAGGCCTCTCACTCAGGCTGCTCGCGGCCTCAGCAGTGCCCTTGCAGCCTGCTGCTCACTGTGGCCCACACAATGGCTCCCCACTGCTCCCTGACCTTACCCCTCTGCTTGTGCTCGCCAGGTGCTGTGGCCAGCACAGAGGTGAAGATGAAGCTGCAGGAGTTTGTCCTCAACAAGAAGAAAGCATTGGCCCACCGGAACCTGAACCAGTGCATTTCCAGTGACCCCCGCTTCTGGTACGGGTAAGTGGCCAGGGCCACAAGGGCCCAGCATGGTGTATGCTCCATGGCAGGTCTGAGTGGAGCAGTTCTCACCTGGTAAGGCAGGGTGGCAAGGGGGCAAATTGAAACCCCCGAAGTGCTACAGGACTGCTGGTAACGTGTGGCCAGCATCCCCATGGGGGAGGTGGACTTCAGGTCACCCAGTGCTGTTCCTGCTGGGCCTGGTCGTTGCTTTCAGCATTTGGTGCCGTCCTTCAGTGGCTCGAGGAGCCACTCCCATGGGAAGCCTGGGCTGAGTGGTCCATCTGCACCTGCCAAATTCCTATCGAGTGATGTACTGATTCCTGAGCAAGTCAGTAAACACCTTGGGTTTTTGTTATTTTTGTACTGAGTCCTACCCGGGGCTTCACAGTGAGCAGACACTGCAGGAGAGTCTTGTTTGTGACAGCTGAAGGAAGCCATGTGTCCACATGTCTTAGGAGGCCTTGTCTGCGGAGCAGGGGGACAGTGAAGTGGCTTCCTCTGGTTAGCATGCAGAGGAGATTGTTGTCGTTTTCTGCAGTTCTCAAGGGTCATTTGGTTACCAGAAAACAACAGTAGAGTCATTCTCATAAATCAAAAGTATAATCAGCAATTTCACTGCAAAAAAATTTAGCTATTCTAAGAGCCTCAAAATGTACAACTCTCAGTACTAGAATGCCACCACATCCCATTTAAGCCATCTGTCTGTTTGCATGGCTGACCTCAGCCAGCATCAGATACCCTGAGAGGCATTCTCATCATGCGGCTGTGCATCAGCCTTCCCGCGCTGCAAGTCCATGGGACGCTCTTGCTGTTCGTGTAACCACCAGTGACACAAAACCTCACAGAGAAGTATGAAATCGGGTGGCCCAGGAGAAGCCATAAGTGAAGGTAGTGAAAGCAGTGGCGCCAGTGGGAGGGCCCCTGAAAATCGCCAGCACCAGTACCAGCACCTTCAGCCCCTCACCCTGAGCTGTGATCCACAGCCCAGCTGGGGCTCTGCTGTTCGAGACTCTGCCGTCCCCTGCTGCCAGGCCTGCCTACTGTTGGCAGCTGTGGCAGAGGAGAGCAGCTGAGACGGTGGTCTGGTGGTGGTGGCTGTAGAGCCCAGGGCTGGGGAAGATGTAGATACCTGGAGATGAGAGGCTGTGGGACGGGAAAGGAGAGGTGTACCGAGATCTCCTGGGGCCAGTAATGCACAGAACTGTTGGGAAACTCATTGGTGCAGGGACAGGAGAAAGAGCCCTTTGAGAGAAGGCGCTGTAAGCGGCATCTGCACAGCCAGGGTAAGATATGAAGCTTAAGGAGGCACAGACCTCACCGCCCCTGGAGGACGGCTGTGCTGTGTGAAAGACGACGGGGTGGAGGGGCTGTTTGTGAGGACAGGACACAGCCACTGGGTAGCAAGGATGCCTCCTGAGCCACAGGCCTGGGGAAAGGGTCTTGGACAGCCTCTGGGGTAGGCCCGGGTCCTGGGGTCAGGAAGAGGAAACCGCAGGTCTTGAGGCCCCAGGGAGGTACCTGACCCGAATCAGCCCTGTTTCCCCAGTTTAAGGGCTGGGGAGGCTTGCCCTCTCCTTCAGAGGGTTTCAGGGAGGCAAAAGAATGGGACCTCAAGGGTGTCTCCAGGGACAGGCTTGTTTTCACTGAGTTCTGGTGGGGTGCTTGTTTTGTCGTGATTGGTATACGCAGATGCTGCACGTGGCCCGTGGTGGTCAGGAAGCAGGTCTGTAAGGGACGAGCTGAGCCGTGGTCCAGCACCACAGCACCCTGACAGTCAGTTCAAAGCTAATTAGATCTGAGCATGAGCACTGAAGCAGTGAAGTGCCTGGAAGACAACATGGGGACACTTTGACCACCTTCGGGGAGAGGTGAGCAAAGGAGACCAGCAGCATTGACTTTAGACCCAAAAATTTGACATACCAGACTTCATCAAAATTGAAAACCATTCTCCTTGGAAGAAAATAGAAAGGCAAGGAACAGACTAGAAGGAGACAGTCACGGTGCCTATATCCAACAAACCCCTTGTCAAGCTCCTACAAATAATAAAAAGACGAGCAGCCCACCAGAAATACAGACAAGGAGACGAGCAGGTACTGGTAAGGAAGGCACATGGATGGCAGTGAGCCCATGGAGAAAGGTGTATGGCACCACGGGTGCACGGGACACACCAAGGAGCCACAGGGAAATGCAGCCTCACACCTCGGGCTGGCTCAGCTTGAACAGGGCTGGCCAGGTGTGCAGTGGCCAAACTCAACGCAGGTTTCCAGGGGAGGAGTTGGGTCATTCCTGTAAAGGTACGTTCCACCTCTGTGGCCTGGTGTGTGCCCTGGATAAAAGGAAGCAAGCTCACCCAAGCTGGGCTACTACATATGCCCAGCGGATGTACTCATGGCCACAGCCCACGAGCCTGTTGTTAGGAGGACAGGCCAGCACTGCATTCATCTGTGCACCAGCAGGAGCAAGGGTGACCCTGTGGCCGCTGGGTCACACTCCCAGTCAAGGCCAGGCACACAGAGCTGCCCCTTGCTGCCCTTCTTCGGGACTGAGAAGGGGTGAGCCGGTCAGGACGGGGTCTGCAGACACTGAGGAGTCCAGAAGCGGGCAGGTGTCCGTGCTTCCAACCGTCAGTCATCGCCCGGGGGCTTGCCGTCAAGTGTAGCTGGCCCACTGCTCCCGGGCACGAGGGTGGCCAGTCCTCAGGGAAGTATGCAGGCCATGGGCAGGCTTCCGCCAGCAGTAGGAGAAAGAATACCCCTAGTATGTGTTATATGGATCCCAGGTTGAAATGATATTTTTACCTATCAGGTTAAATAGAATACTGAATTGATTTTACCCATTTCTTTTGATTCATTTTAATGGGGCTACTAGAAAAATCTAAATTACACATGTAGTTCACATTATATTTTTGTCAGACTGTGCTGTTGTACTCCATAAAGAATTTTATTTATGTTAAATCACTGGTGTAAATCTGATGTATTGGTAAAGGCCACTTGTTGATAGAAGTTAAATGCTTGAATTTGTTGTTTTGTTCTATAATCAAGGTAATGTTTAGAAAGAAAACCACAGTGTTTTTCTGTTTCCAGTAAGACAAGGATTGCCGTATTTATTTACTCACTTATTGCAGCAGCAGCGATGGAACCCAGGGCCTCAGTCACACTAGGCCAGTGCTCCCCTGTGATTCGCACCCCAGACAAAGCCAGCGCTGCCCACGGCTTCCTGCCCTGGCTCCTTTGTCCCCACCCCAGGCTGGGAATTAAAGGTTGGAAAATGGAGCTGATTCCTGCTCAGGGGTGAATTAGACAGAAGGAGCTGGTCTGCAGGCCTCCCCTTGGGCATGAAGGTGTGGCTGGTATCTGTGTGAGCCTGTGTGTCCCATGCAGTGTGTGTGAGTTTTATGAGCGTGTGCCTGAGGGAGAGCCTGAGTGGGGAGAGCATGGATGTGGTGTATGTGCATGTGGTGTGTGATGTGGTGGGGTGGGGTGGGTGTGAGAATGATGGGAGTGAATGTGCGATTAGATGTGGGGTGTACCTCCTGGGCAGAGGTGTCGTGTTCCGGGGCTGGCCCACACTGGGTGGCAGTTGTGGCATCCCCCGTACCAGTGGCCGCTCCCTGCATTCCTGTGCCCGGCAGGGAAGCTGCTTCTGGCAGGTGGAACAGGCTCTAAGGATCTGTGAGCCCCTGTGTCTCTGGAGTCCTACAAGGTCCTGTAGGGCCAGTGTGGCCGCAGCCTGGCTTGGGATGTGAATGGCTCTGCCAGGCTGGGTGTCAGGCAAGTTGTGCACTGCTGCCTGCAGTTAGAGTCATTTCCAGGCCTCACAGTGGGGTTTTAATGCTGATAGCACCTCCATGTATCAATCTAGCCATAGAAGATATATTAGACCTTTTAACTCATATGGAGCATGGACAGTTTCTGAGCTCCTCCTGGAGTAGAAGTGAAAACACAAGGCCCAGAACATCTCAGTAGGACTCCAGGGAAGAGACTGCCCATGCATGGGTGTGTGCCTGCACGTCCATGTCCCCAGCCCCAGCTATGGTCCAGAATCTCGGGGGCTCTTGGGAGCGGAGCAGAGTTGCTCTCTGTGTGATGGGGTGTGGCGTAGCCCGAGGGGCCAGCATCCCGAGTGCTCTGAGCTCCTGTGAGGGTGCGGCCCAGCCCATGGGGTTTGGCTCTGGGATCTCTCCAGCAGTTCTTTACACCACACACTTTCAGATATTTAAGTATGCACCTGTGCGTGCTTAAGAGCTTCTGCTCTTGATTTAGATGACTCCAGGTGTGCCAATGTAGAGGGCTGTGTATTCAAATAAATAATCTAGCAAATTCCAAATAAGATAGTTGGCAAATTTGTTTCCAGTCATTAAGTAGTTTACATAGTGTAAAGACCCACAGAACAGACTCAGCTAGCAAGTACCTCCACAAAGCTTTGCTGGTGGCCCTCTTGAGTGGCCTCTGCATCCCCGCCAGTCCCCAAGGCCTGACTCCTCCCTCTTCCTTCCTGCTCCCTCTGAGCATCGCCAACAGCCTGCTCCCTGCTGGCCAAGTGGAGGACTTGAGTCGTGCTGGCAGCTCCAAAGGAACCCTGCACAGACCCACTCCCAGGGCAGAAGGCTGCTGCCCCGCTGCCCCTCCTCCAGGAGAGGCCCAGGGTGATGTGCACCAGTGAGGGCACCCGGGATGGGTGTGTTCTGCTGAACAGAATTCTCCAGGGCTCCTGCTTTCAGAGAGGCAGAGCCCCAGACCCTCCGCACCCTGTTTTGGCTGGATTCCTTACATTTTGGATTTGCCTTGGAGTTCTTGCCCTAGAGCTCACCTGTCTTCCTCTGCCCTGCACCCTGAAGATAGGCCCTTGGTGTGGCCAGTAGTAACCCTGGTGGGGAGCAGAGCACACAGGGCTTCCGAGGAGCAGGTCTGAGCAGGGAGCGGGCAGCAGCCAAGTCAGACAGGAAGGCTGTCAGCGCCTTTCCCGGTGTGTCAGAGCCTGCGTTTGTTTATTTTCCATTTGCCCTGGGAACAAGGGCTGGCAGTGGGGCTGGGGCTTTCAGGCATCCCCACAGGCTCTGGTGACACAGAGGCACACTGATACCCATCTTGTTTTCTGCAGGAAGACGCAACACAGCTCCCTGGACCAGAGCTCTCCGCCCCAGACGGGAGTGTCGACCTCCTACAACCACCCGGTCCTGGGGATGTATGATGCCAAAGATGACTTCCCTCTGAGGAAGACAGGTTAGTGCTGAGCTCCACAGACCACAGGGACACCCCATGCCAGCCCCTTTCCCCTGGCTGAGGCTGAGCCAGCAGCAGTGTTGCTTAGCAAAGGCCCCTTCGCAGATTTGCAGGGTTGGTGTTTATCATAGATGTGTCATTTTGAAAAGATCTCCCTAGCTTCCCCTTAGCATTCATACCAAAAGAAACAGGGCATATGTATTTATTTCTTTCTAAATACATTTCTTTCTAAACCTGGGCTTATCTGTGGAGATCTTGCTTCAGTTTCCTTTCTGTGACATTGCATTACCCAGCCATGCCCTAGAGCTGCCCTGGCAGTCACCAGAGTTAAGCACTTCCTGCTCATGGGCATCCAGTGAACAAGCGAGCATCCAGCCCTCTGTGCTGGCCCTGGGCAGTGCCTGGGCAGGCGATAGTCAGGGCTCCCAGCATGGGGCAGGTGCTGTGAGGGACGTTCAGTGTCCTGCGGGCGCAGGTGGTCTCAGCTACATGGCAGCTCTTACATGAGCAGACGGAGAACAGATGCAGCTCTGAAGGACGCCAGCCCGTTCTGCAGGGGGAGAAGGCCAGGCACTCTGCATCCTCTCCAGGTGAGGGTATAGACAAGGCAGTGGCTTTGGAGAAGGTTCAGGGTGGCAAGAAGGGCAGGGCCCTGAGCAGCTGTACCCTGGAGAGATGCAGACCCGACTGCATCAACCAAGGGGGAGGGCAGGGCCCTCATCTCAGTACAGCAAGTGAAGCCTCGGAACCAGGGCGGGTGGGACATTCCGGGCGTCCCTGCAGGGTGCTCCCAGAGTGAAGTCAGAGGACACCGCCAGAGTTTAGAGCAGAGGCGACTGAGGCACTCATCCCATAGCGGCTTCTTACTCGAGTGGGAGGCTACAGGGACCACTGGGCACGGCACCAACTTGACCACATGTGGAGGGATGTGTAGGTGTGGCCACACTGGGCCTGCCATCCTGTGGCACGAGGTCTCAAGAATCATGGGTGCAGAGGGCATGGCAGCTAAGAGCTTGCTGTCACACAGAGCAGTTAGCTCTCACCAAGGGACGCAGTCTCCTTGGTCACCAGGAAGGGCCCTGCTGCCACCTGCCCCCCTGCCCATGCAGTGCGCAGAGCTCTGTGCAGCCTACAGCGGAACAGCAGGGCAGGCGCCCCCACCCCAACATCACAGCAGCAGTGCTGGGGACAGCAGCCTCCTGTTCAGAGAAAGCTAGTGTGAGTGCTCTGCAGCAGGCGCTCTGGAGCAGTGTCAGGGCAGAGGCACACCCCTATGCCACCATCCACTGCTGGTCACCAAAGCCACTGGCCTGGGACTGTGGTCGACAGGGCCCCTGCAACTTCGGGTGCCAGAGGCACCGGGCTGCTAGGCTGCGCCGTGTCTTGGGGCTGGAGAGCACAGTCCAGCCCCAGTTGTGTTTGTGACCTTGAGCCTCAGAGCCCGGCCTGTAAGGACTGGCGATTTCTCTCAAACACGCGGGGTGCGCTCCAGAGGATTTGAGTATGGTGCAGTCACATGACCACTCTTCAAAACAGCATCACTAGCACATTAACATGTTAACAGTAGAAGGAATCCAGAGATTCGCACCCACCTCCGCGCAGTGTGTGGAGAGGCACCCCGATCGCCTAGACACAGCTCCTCCCGCACACTGTGTTGTCACTGGTACTGCTTTGCAGCCCTTGGTTTCTCAAGACTCCAGTGCGTGAGACTTAGGCACAGCGTACTACAGCAGTTCAGAGATGATCTGTCCTGACTGGCAGGTACTGTACCTGGGAAGAGTTATGTGACTAACTACCTACAGCAGTACGACTTCTCCATGTCTCAGTTTTTAAAGAGCAGTGATGTCTATCACGTGTTGAACACGTGAGACGTCGCTCTGATGCAGATTTCTTCAGCGCGCCATGCATTTTTACATGTGCTTCAGGAGGCTCTTTGGGTGACAGTTCATGCCTGTGCCTTCTCAAGGGTCTTACTGCCCTCATGAAAATAATGTGCACCCTGCCTGAGCTTCTTGTTACACATTCAGGGAGCCTCGATGGCTGTGGCCTGTGTGGACAGCCCAGCTGCCTGGGTCTGGCCCCAGCTTCTCCATGTACATCTGTGATTGGGAGGATGCTCTTGCCCACCCGGTGCCTGGCCCTGTCATCTGCAGAAGTGCCTGTGAAGCAGCTTTTGCCCACTGTGCTATAGGAGAGTCTTGAGATCGGGGCTCCTAAGTAGACTGCTCCCACTGGGAGCAGGAACACCCGTCCACCCCGCCTGCACTGACCAGGTGGTAACGCGGTTGGCTGTAGCCCCAGTGGTGACAGCCTGTTCTCCAAGCAGCTCTGTCACTGTGTTCCCTCCTAGAGCAGAAGCAGCTGCCAAGCTGGAGGACTCCAGGCACCATCCCTGCAGGCCCTTTCCTTTCCTCCATGTCTTGTGGGCATTCTTTATGTGTGACAACCAATCTTAACATCTGCCTTGCATGATGAGGGTTACATTCTAGTCATCTAGCCATTTGTGTTATTAGAACCACCTTTTTGTTTTCTCCACACAGTGAATGTATATGAGGGATAGGACACCCCACCATGTTTAGGACAGGAAGGCAGCATCCTCTGCTGGTCCTGCCCTGTTGCGGCGGACATGTTCACAGCTAAAGCCCAGACTGCATCCTGGCTCCTTTCTTGCAGACCTTTTCCTGAAGTTGGCCGTGCTTTTGCCTTTGCTCATCTTCTGCGTGTGTGTTGATAATCCAGGTCATCTCTGAACACCCCCAAGAGACTCTTCCCTGCAGAGTCAGGCACAGCAGCCCTTGGTGCCTGGGAGGCCTAGCTCCTGGCTCCTGCCCTGCCCAGACAGCCCACCCTCCAGCCCCTCCTGCAGCCACCAGGGCTGTGCCCTCAGCTGCTCTGCCCTGGTTCTGCGTGTCCACAGTGCTTGTCTTCCTCCTCTCCCTCTTCTGTACCCTCTCCAGTAGCTCCCCAGGAAGTCCACAGGGAATGCATGACTTTGTGGTCCCGGCGTGCTGCCTCCTCCATGCTGGCACTCCCTTAGTCAGCCATGGCTGGTACAGAAGTCCTCTTCCTGGAGGGTCTCAGCTCATCATCTCTCATTGACGTGGCTGATGATGATGAGTCCTAAGCTGTCCTCAAGACCAGCCCTTAGTGCCCAGAGTACTGGGCAGTGCCCAGCCTCTCAGGAGAGTCTTCGAGTGCTGCTCTCCTGAGCCATGTGAGTCCTTTGGCACCTGCTTCTCCGTCCAGGAGAGGAGTGCATCTTACACTGTTCTGCCTGTGAGTTCCCTTCTCTGTGTTCTCCTAGCGTTCTCACTGATTTCCCAGTAGCCGTTCCTGTTTCCATCTTTTCATTCTTTCCTTCCCCTCTGAAAATCGCTAACCTTTTCTTCATCCCTTCTTCCCCAGCTTCTGTTTCTGTCCCGTTGAAGCAGTCTTCTCTCCCACAGCCCCACCCACCAGCCTCTGACCCTGGCGGTGCGGCCAGCTTTCTTCCTTCTCCACCCTCGCTGGCTGCTGGCCGTGGCCTCAGGCCGGCAAAGCAAGGGCACTTCGGGAGAACCTATCCCGCTCCTACGGCTGGATGTACATGTGTCCCTTCTCACAGTCCCACTTAAGAGCATTCCAAAGCAAGGACTGGTGACACCCGGTGACTGACTCAGGGAGAGCGACGCCACTTATCACTGGGTGTGCAAGGCCGCTGAGCTGGGGACAGGCCTGCATCTCTCAATATTGCTTCCTGGAGACCAACCCAGGCTAGAACTGGAAATTTCTGGGGCTGAGGTCAGAATGCTCTGTCTGCCTTCCTTTGTGCTTTTCTGTTTTTTTGTTTTGGTTTTGATTTTGGTTTTTCTCTGGTACCGGGAATCAAACTCACAACCTTGCGCTTGCCAGGCAGGCGCTGTGCCGCTGAGCTAAATCCCCAGCCCGCATTTGTGCTTTTCTGGATCACCTCTGAGGAGCAACATCCCTGTCCACCACCTGCCCCCTCAGAGAGCAGACACTGTGTTGTAGAACAAAATCATGCCCTTTTGTCCTCATACTCTGCTGACCTGCAGCCTGCCAGGAGGGTTCAGCACAGCTCAATGGCCCTCCACTGAGCCCACACCCTGTGTGCCCGCCTTGCTGCCAGGTGGGGACCCTGAGTCCTAATTTCTGCCACCTGCAGAAATCAGGAGTTCCATGAAATATGCATATGAACAGTGAGAACTGCGGGTCATCTCTTCTCCTTGAAGGAGATGGCTCGTTTGGGCGTGGCTTGGAGATGTAAAATGTGCAGACAGGTGACTGAAGAACAGGCTTTTCCAGAGCAAAACCTGGCAGGAGCTGGTTCCTCCTGCAGCGCAGCGCCTGCCACGCCTCCCAGCAAGGCCACCTGACACCATGCTGCTCTGCTGCACCTGGCTTTTGCCAGTGCCAGCGTGGGCTTTCCCTCTCCCCCAGTGCTCTTTACCCCTACCCCTGCCCACCTGCCTGCTGTGCAGCCCCCTCCCCAGCCCTCAGGCGGGACCTGCATCTAGTGGGGTCCACAAGGTCCTTGAGAGCCCCGCAGGGATGCTATCTTAGGCCTGGTAGCATCAGTGCAGTGTCTCCGAGCCTGCTGGCTGGCTGCAGCCATCCTGCAGGCAGGTGTTGGGGGAAGAGGCAGGCCAGAGGGCACAGTGGCCAGTCCTGCAGAGGCGTAAGTCACAGTAGGAGTCTGGAAGTTGGGCAGTGGCCGTGGGAAGATGGTGGAGGGACACAGTCCCACTCATCTGAAGACATGGTCAGAGACAGGACCTTAAAATGACCTCCAGTCTGACCTCAGCCCTGCACGGCCTGGAGGAGACTAGGGTGCCAGTCTACAGTAGCACAGCCAGTTTCAGCAACTCTGTCACACACTGTCACCTAGTCGTGTCTGCACCTTTCCACAACACCAGGAAGGGCAGCACCCAAGAGGAGACCCTCTCCCTACGCTCCAGTCAGTGAGTGTTCACAGCCCAAAGCTCAGGCCACTCCTCTGACAGTCTATAGCCTTTGTGCCCGGCCTGCCAAGGGGTAAAGAAGCCCCACTGGGCTTCCATTGAGCTCTTGTTGGTGGAAGAGATGCGTTGTTTCCTAGCCCAATGACCAGGTGGGATTTTGACCTGTTTTGTTTTCATTTTTAAGCAAGAAATGTAAATATAGGAGGAGAACATGTGAGCCTATGCTTAGCTCAGAACACAGACTGAAAACAAACAGCCAGGAAGGCAGTTTTGTCCCTGACTCCTTCCTCTGTTGTCACACAAATTGTGCAGGTGACTTGCACTTGCTTGTACACAGAGACCGCAAGGCAGCAGGCCGCTGCCTAGGTGAGCGCCTCCAGGGCTCTCCAGGAACGTGACAGCACAAACACGGCCTTGCTTTCTCTGGAAATTGAATTTGAGAAGCCCACTGCGCCCACCTCCTCCTGAGGCCCCCCGGAAGCCGTGGAGGCCTCACACCTCCGGTCGAGTACAGGATGTGCAGGTCTGCCTGTGTGCCCCAGGCTGGGAGACACTCCCCTAGGTGGGGTGGCTCCTGCACCAGTTTTTAGAACCTGACCCTCAGTACTGACTCCAGAGATGTTCCTTCTGGAGGTGGGGAACTTCCTTCCAGAAAGACCTGAGAGCACGGAGTGCTGAGTGGGAAACAGGTGAGGGTCACACTGCAGATCCACACGTGGGGAATAGCCAAGGGGCTCGTAGCAGCAGGCTCAGGTGTCCTAGACTGGACGGCTGACTGAGAGTCTGGGCCCTTCCGCAGGTGGCCACACTGTGCTGCTGCGGTTGTTCCCGTGTGCGCAGCCCCAGGCATACGGAAGAGTGGAGACCCCCGGGGGTTCAGGTGTGGGTGTTCCAGAGGCATCGGCAGTGGTGGGCAGTTTACTTGTGGATGCTGAGGCGGGCGCCTGCGGGATGAGAAAGCACGTGCTTCAGATGTCAAAACAGTCACAGTCTGCAGCCCACAGGGTCTGTCAGTTTTCCTCAGATACCAGAGTGGCACTACTACAAGGATAGAGACGTCGTGTTCAGAAGATTCACTGCTGAGTGCCTGTCACGCTGCCCTTGTTCCTGCTGTGCGCAGGAGATGGTCTTAGCCTCGTTCCCATCCGTGGGTACAGAGCGGCAATGGCATTGTCCGCGACAGCCTCTGCACATGACCTCAGTGTGCAGGTGCTCAGCCGAGCCTCAGAAACGCAGCACCCCTCTAGGGCAGATGGGCCACAGAGCCACCTCTATGCTCCCTGCACACAGTAGATACTCACCAGTGTGCATGTGATTAACCTGGGAGCCTGGTTGCACCTGGGTAACCATGAGGCTATAACCACATCTCCTTTTGTGCAGCTTCTGAACCCAACCTGAAATTACGGTCCCGGCTTAAGCAGAAAGTGGCAGAGAGACGGAGCAGCCCCCTGTTGCGCAGGAAAGATGGGCCCGTGGTTACTGCTCTAAAAAAGCGACCCCTGGATGTCACAGGTAAGTTGCGCTGGCAGGCACAGCTGCCTCTGAACACCTACATCCCGTCGGCCGGTCCCCTGCAGTCCTGTTCAGTGGTGCTGCGCACACCAGCTCCAGACCCAGCACTGGGTTCGCGGGGGCCTGGCACATGCCTGCTGCCACAGCCCAGGCATGACCTGGCCTGGCAGCCTGGAAGGCACTCCCAGCCTACAGCTGCATGTTTAGCTGCCCTGCCCCATGAGAGCGAACGCAGGCTCCGGGCTCCTGTACATGCCTGCTGAATGGTGCTGGGTGCAGGAGGGTTCCCGAGTCTCCCAGCAGCCACAGCCAGCTGGACAGAGAGGCCTGCGCTCAGCTGGTTGAGCTTTAGTGAACGTGCTGCTGCTGGCCCCACCTAGTGGTGGACACGCAGCAGGTCATCAGTGCGGATCTCTTCAGGGAGCACTGCCCCACACAGCCCTCCTAAAGGTACCCAGGCTGTACAGTAAGTACCCCACCCAAGGAGAGCATTTTACCCTGCTGCTACTGAGGCACCATCCCTCACAGGAATGACACCCCCAGGAGACCTACCCTAACGGCACCCCTCCACTGGTCCCAAGGTCTCAGCAGCTCTAAGGCCAGGCTCCCAGTGTAAATCTGAGTGCTGCAACTTGCGGCAATGCACATGCTGAACCCCGGGAGGGACGTCAGGGTCCCAGGCTCTGGCCTCAGGGGGTGCGAGCTGGCCTGTGCCTGGTTCTCCCTGTGTGAAACCCTCCTCCCGGGCCTGCCTCTATGTGTTTGTGGATTTGTGTGAAAGAGTGCGTTCATGCCCTGGGGAGCGCCCTCTTGTCATTGTGTATTTCACGTAGGTTTCTTCCTCTGGTCATTCTAGTGCAGAGATGCCTCTGTCTAGAGAAACTGACACATGGTGTTGTGAAGTCCCCCGGGCTTAACTGAGGGGAATCCGTATGGGTGAGGAAGCGCACGAGCCCGGTCCCTTTGCCACACACCTTTGCTATGCAGCCCCACGGCGAGGTGAGCCCCAGTGCTCCCAGCCAGATGAGGGGAGGCGGTGTCTCCTCGAGGTGGGGTCTGTGCTGCCATCTGGGCCCAATGGAATGCTGTGTGATGTCCAGAGCCAGCTGGGCACAGGAAGAGTGAGCGCAGGCAATTGAGCTGGGACAGCCAGGGTCCTGTGTGACAGGAGCTAGTCGGCGCAGAGCTGTACGACATGGGGAGTCCCGCCTGGGCCGGGGGAGGCCATCAGAGCTGCACCCAGCCAGCAGAGCTGCGGCACATGGCACTGGCTGCGGCCTGACAGACAAGTGAGGTTGGGGCAGAGGCAGGGAGCTGTGTGCTCCCAGTGAGGGCAGTCACACGGGCGGCTGCAGCAGTGGGGACAGCGCTCTGGGTGGTGCTGCAATCCCAGATGAAAGGACAGGAAAGGTGGACCCCAGCCATGCAATGGAACCACTCCAGGGAGAGCTGGAATGCGGGGAAGGTCCTGAGCCAGAACGTGCCCTGTCTCCCATGAGTGTAGGGAGGGCCACAAGAAGGGGCTGGGGCAAGGCAGAGTCGCACCCCACTTCTTCCCGAGGGCTCCCCTCACACCAGCCAAGGAGCCGGAGAGAAAAGGAGGCAGCGCGCCTGCACTGCCTGGGTGTCTGCAGGTCCCAGTGCCTCCCACGCCCTCTTGAGTGTGCTTACCCCGTAGCTCGAGTGGGGACTGGCACTCACAGGTTTGCGTGTCTATCTACTCGGCGATAGTGCTTTGGGCACTTCCGGAGTGGTCTTGCCGTCTGGGTGTCGAGGGCAGGGTCAGAGGGCCAGAGAGCGGCTCCCAGCAGGCACTCAGAGAAGAGAGCAGGGCGAGCTCCGGGTTCTGCAGCATCTGGACAAGCACAGACTGGGTGGGGACAGACTTGTGCTCACATCAGTGGCTCAGGCAGGTTTGTCCCGGGAGCCGTGGAGGGAGGCTCCCGAGAAGGAAGGAGGCATGGACAGCTCAGGGGTTGTCGCATCAGCCCAGGGTGTTCCTGCATGGACAGCATGTCCATGAAGGAAGGGCCTTCATACTCTGCCCAGATTAACAGGGGAGGGCAAGTGGCAATACCACCTGTTGCCTTGGTTTCCGCCTCTGCAGCGAGGGTGCTGCTGGTACACTATTCACAGCTCAGGAAAGCACAGCTCCCATAGCTCCGTCGGCAGGGTCTGAGATCTGTGGTACGCTTGCTCTGTCCCCGCTGCCCTCCCTGTCTCCTCCCTGGATGTGGAGCTGGTGTTCAGACTGAGCTCTGCAGGTGTGGCCTTCTGTGGCCCCTGCTGAGGACACATGTCCCTGGGTCCCCTTGAGTGGCTGTGCTGTGCACTCAGGCTCAGGGCAGGGCTCTTGGTATTCAGAGTGTGGTGGAGTGGCAGGCATCGAGACACATGCACGTTCTCTGGACCTGAACCAGACGGCACTGCTGTGGGGATGCCACTAACCAGGCAGGGGCCCCAGCCAGGGCCTCTGGCTGCATTGTGCGTGCAGAGCTGCATGCAGTGTGCAGAACTGTGGGGGAGTGCTGCAGGGAACAGCAGCCAGGGCCCGTATCCTCTCCAGCACCGCCCCGGTGCAGCCTGCAGATGGGCAGAGGCTCTCACCGTCCGACTCAGGGTGTTTCCAAGGAACACTGGTGAGCCACAGAAGCATCTGGCCATGTTCCTGGATGCTTAGTACTGTGTAGGAAAATGAGGACTTTGTTCAATGTGAGTGGTAATGATAGGTTGCTTTATTTGGAACTCACATTTTTAGTGAGCACATTAAATTTGACCTTTCTCTTACAAAGTCTTTTGGCCTCTATGTTCCTGGTCTTTGTTTGTTTGAATATCAATAGGTGTTTAAGGGCTTAGTTTTCTCATGTCTCACACCACCTTGAGACTCACAGCAGCTATGAAAGTGATAGCACACACGCCCGGAAGCCTGGCAGGGGAGAAGCACCCACGGGGTGAGCTTTATGACCCACTGTGAGGCTGCCCAGCAGCAGGTTGAAAGACTGGAATGGCCATCGCATGCCCCACTCCAGCTGTGGCTGTGCCCTCTGCAGTTGGGGCCGCCACAGGCGCGTCAGTCCCCGCAGAGCTGACTCCCAACCACTGTCGCCCCCTGCAGACTCTGCGTGCAGCAGTGCCCCAGGCTCCGGGCCCAGCTCGCCCAACAGCAGCTCTGGCAACGTCAGCACTGAGAACGGCATCGCGTCCACCGTGCCCAGCGTCCCGGCTGAGGTCAGTGCACCCAGGGTCAGGGGCATAAAAAGACACCAGCTGCACTCAGCCTGCACCTGACACACAGGGTCTGCGAAGGCAGCCGGCCCAGAGTCACCCTGCAAGGGCCTTCCTCATGTAAACTTCCCCAGCCCTCACTGCAGTCTCTGGGCCTGGACATCGGGGCGCCTCCAGCCCTTCCCAGTCTCTCCCCAGCATGTTGCAGGAGAAGCCGACCCAACACAGACCATGTGTGGCTGTGTCCTGGCAGACAGCGAGCACTTGCATTGAGAAATACACAAATTAAAATGCTGGCCAAGAAACCAAGTGCCTAGGAGACTGGAGGATCACCGAGTAGTCAGAAGTACCAGGACACACAGGGAGCCGAGGGCTCTGCACCCCTCGGCCCTGCCTTCGTCAGACCCTGGGGTTACAACCATCTGGGAGGCACTGGGCAGACTAGGGCAGGTTCAGAGGGGGATGGGGTCTTGGGTGGGGCCGAAGCCAGAGACACCTGAGTTTATCCAGAGAAGGGTGGAACACCCAGGGCAGGCTGCGGGGCGTACCTCACCCACACGTGGACTAGCAGTACCCTTCTCCAGCCATGGGTGCAGTACCTTCACTCCCTGGACCGGCTGCACATCCTTCCTCCTTCTGTGAGTGTTGGGGCTTGGTCCAGCAAGGCACGGGGAGCCACTCCACACCACTCCAGCTGCTGAGCAGGGCTGGCACTGGTCAGGATGCTGCTGTGGGCTTGGGTGGGCTGTGGGGAGGCCACTCAGTGAGCTTCCTGACAGACTGACCAGAAACGCCATCTGCTGCACCCAGGAGGCTACTGAGTGGGAGGTTCTCTCTGAGTTCCTTCTGACTTGCAGAAGGCTGTAACTTATTAGATGTAGTTATTTATTTCTTAAATGTTTGGAAATGAATCCCGCCATTCCAGTGGGTTTCAGATCTTAGCTGCATGTGTAGGCACAGTGCTTAGCATCTTCGCATCAAGTTTCCAGCCCTTTATTGGAAAGAAGCTGTGGAAACCAGAACCACTGACAGGAGTGAGTGTCTCTGCTGCTTATGGGTTACCTGGTACTTGTTTCTCTTAATCATTTTACTTTGTCCTCTGGTTTATTATCTATATTTTTAACCTTCTCATTTACATATTTATTTAGATTATTAAAATTTTAACAGTCCCTCTCTGCCAGACTGAGGTCACAACTGAGTTGCCTGTCAGTAGCCTCAGAGTGCAATCTAGAAATGACTTCCTTCCCTGAGACAGGGACACCAGTCCTGTCTTGTTGATCATGGCCACAGATGCTCATTTAATGTGGGCAGTTAGGTACACCACAGTTAGTACTGTAAAAATGCCTTCTTTGGGTGGATCTACATGGCTCTGGTTTGTTACATGTTAATGTTTGCAAATCATGTGATACATACATTAAGCTGCTGTTGATCAGTAGAACATAGAAGAGGAGTCACAAGAACTATGCAAGGTGAGGTTGCCCATGTTTCACATCAGACACTCATTGTCACAGGCTGAGGCAGACTTTGACTCTGCTCACACGCAGGCATCCCTGCTGGATTTCAGGTCTCATTAGGTGGGGCAACTGTGGGAGAGCATCATAACAGGGCTCCCCCCATTCCCGGGACCCACCCTGAGGGGCTCTGACTGGAAATAGCAGATACCACAGCCATCCCCCCATTTCTCATCGGCAAATCAACATAAGCAAGCAACTCTTAGTAGGCTACTTTATTTCTAAAAATATTAGATTTAAAAAAAAAAAAGAAAACAAATTTGCTGTAAAGGCAATTATAACTTTACAGACATTAGGCTACTTACTTTGTTCCACCTAAGTATGTCACAGTACAGTCGTGATTTCCTTGGCAGTCACACTTTCTCTAAAACAGAGCGTACAGATGTTCCTTTGACTTTAGGCAAAACAAACTTCTAGCCTAGGAAAAACACTTTTTCCAACACTTTTTCCAGGAGTCCTTTAAATGCGCATACCACGTGTGTCAGTAAAATGTGCAAAGACTCGGAATGGGCTGGACAGGTGCTAGAGACAGAGGACATTGTCTGTTTCCTCCCAGGTGAAGGGCTGCTGCTCCTGATTCTGCTCACACGACCAAGTGGGGCCAGCAGGGTGTGCCAGGTGCCCAGGGCCCCAACCAGGACACTGGTGCACTGGCTTCCACAGGCACTGCAAAGGGACAGAACTAGGACGTGTGCCACACAAGGGCGACTGCCCCATCACCCTCCAGCTAGAAGGAAGAAGTCATTTCCCAGCCAGGGCTGTAAGCAGGCCCCCCTTGTTACAGTAACCTGTAGTAATGCTCAGCTGATTAATTTTTGTCCTAGGAAATGAAATTTTGAAGCACTCAAAGTGCTTCTCCGCCTTAGTTATGTAGGCTACCATAAGAGCTAGGAGAAAATTGGCGTGTCTTCATTCTTAAAGGCACTTCCTTACTTAGATTTCTGCCTGCCAAACCCCTGTACTGAGTGTCCCTGCCTCACTGTGTGTCCAGTTGGTTCTGTCAGCATCCATTCACTAAGTGTCTGCTGCACAGAGACACAGTGGCTAACTGCTCATATGACATCTATCAGTAAACTGTGCAGAGACCCAAAGGTGGGTGGGCAGGTGCTCAGGACAGAGGACGCTGCCAGTTTTCTCCCACGCAAAGGCTGCTGCTCCCTAATCTGCACGCACAACCGAGTGGGGCTGGCAGGTGTGCAGTGAGACACTGTCCTTTAAACTGAAGCCTATGTGTTCTACAAACAAGAAGTGTTACACAACCTGTGGCTGAGGCCCTGGACAACGCCTCACCCGAGCTTTACAGTCCAGATGCTGTAGGATGCCCCCAACCACAAGCGCTGAGGTTCAGGCCCTCCCCTACTCCCGGTCCTCTTTTTTGAGGGCTGTTTGCTCCTCCTCCAGACCAGTGTTGAGTGGCTGAACCCTTGTTAGAAAGCCCATCATTCTGTGACTTGATTTTCAGTAGCAGTTTATCACAAACAAGTGTCCAAGTGACCATCCTCAGGACATTTCCCACCTCCTGTGTGTGCAGGGTGTGAAGGCACCTGCCTGAGGTCAGGTCCGTGTGCATGTGGGCCACTTCTTGGCACTTTCTTGAGTGCTGTGCTGAGCGTGGAGTCCCAGGGCCAAGCTCGGCCCAGCCCTGGGCTCTGGTGCAGTGCTAGCTCACCCAGCAGAAGCGTGTGCGCGCTGGCCACTGCAGTGTCGTGCGTCTTTAGGCCAAGGGGCATTACCATTTTGAAAGTCGGAGACGGTTTCTGATTACTGGTGGTGTTTCTTGTGACTTTATTCCCCTTGGTATGGTTTCTTCTTTTGTTCTTAGTCGGCTGTTTTTCCCGTTCTTCATTCTTTAATTTTCGAGCTCTTTATATGTTAACCTTGCCCTGTATGTTGCTAATATTGTCATCATTGCCTGCTTTTGCAAGAGCAGATTTTTTTCCTTTTATCATTCATTTCCTCTTTAGTCTCTGCTTTGATGTCATCTTTCAAAAGACATTCTCAGTTACAAAAACTTTATTGAATTATCCAAGATTTTCTTCTAATACCTGTAAGTAAGCAAATCAGACAAAAATAAGGTCAGGACAGACCAGACAATGAAAGGACTTCTATTCAGGGGAATAAACTGTGAGCTGCCTGCCGGTGTGCTTTTACCCCTGTGGTGTGCTTCGCCGTCACGCGCTCACCTGTGTGCTGTGAGCTGCGGGGCCTCACAGTCGTGCGCTGTGCCTTAGCAGGTGGTGGGGCACATCTCTGCACCACAAGGTCTTCGCCCAGGGCATCGGCCTCCAGGGCTGCGGACCACCCTGTCTCGCGGGTGATGCTCCTGTTTGCATGTTGCGGACCCCGTGTGACGGGCATCTGTGTTCTGTCTCCAGACCAGTTTGGCGCATAGACTTGTGACTCGAGAAGCCTCTGTCGCCCCACTTCCTCTCTACACATCACCATCCCTGCCCAACATCACCTTAGGACTTCCTGCTACGGGCCCTTCTGCTGTAAGTGGCCCCCGTGGGTCTGTGTGGCATGGTGCAGGTGGCTGTTGGGATCGCAGCAACCTGAGCAGCTGGGCTTTGCTTTCCAGGGCGCCACAGCTCAGCAGGACGCTGAGAGGCTCGCCCTCCCGGCCCTGCAGCAGCGGATCTCCCTCTTCCCTGGCACCCACCTGGCCCCCTACCTGGGTACCTCGCCCCTGGAGCGGGATGGCGGGGCAGCACACAACCCCCTTCTGCAGCACATGGTCCTGCTGGAGCAGCCACCCACACAGACACCCCTCGTCACAGGTAGGCCCCCCGTGGCATTGGGTGGAGAGGGAGGCCTGTCCTCAACTGTGTGCGGATCTGTCATGTGACTTGTCTTCCTCCACTAGAGTGAGAACCGAGTCTTGCAAAGCTAGGTGGGGGAATAAAAGTGGGCACCAGCTTCCCCTGTATGACCTCTCCAGGAGCTCGCTGGGCCTCATGATTTGTGTTTCAGTGTTGGTGGAGCTAAGCAAGTGCTCTAAGCGTGTAACTCAACTAGACAGATAGTTGGTTCCTGTTAGCAGCAAAACCTTATATAAACATGTATCCTCCAAGGATGGTTCTGTTTAGAAAAGTACAGCTTAGAGGAAGACAGGACATTAGTTACAAGTTTGGCTGGGCCACTGAGTGAAGTACATTTCAGAAGTATGGGAGCGTGCCTGTTTCTTGAGACACGAAGACGAGCTACTGTGCAACCCTCTCCCCCCACGCTGTCTCTGGCTGGGTGGTTGGCTCTTGGCCAGGTGTTGATTTGATAGGGATGACAGATAGACCAGCCTCAGCTGTACCTCACTACTCTGTCTTCCATGATGGCCCTGCTCCAATACTTGGTGTGTCACAGGACACTGCCCTACAGCATGGCTTTGGTCCTGTGGGTTTGGCTCGGTCTGCAGGGTTTGGTTCTGTGTTCTCACCATGTACTTCTTCAGTTCCCTTGAGTACTTGGCTCTTTAGGCTGCTGGTCAAGGCAGAAGTGGTGTACCTGGCCTCACATGTCCATGTAGACAAGGAGGCCTTCTGTGGCTGGCTCCAGAGAATTGGTGCCTCTCTGACCTGTGGACTAGAACTTGCTGCTGTATACCTGGGTTCCTTCCTGTCTGTTCTTGAATGCCTGAGCTTAGCCACTCTGAGACCGGGAAGACACGCGCAGCCATGTGCCTCATCTTCCAGCTGTACAGTGGGTGCTGGCAGAGTCTGGCGGGGTTAAACAGGGTGCGTGTTCCTCTGGGGCGGTACTGGCCTCCTGGTGGTGGTGATACTTGGTGGTAGGGATGCTCAGTTAACCTTCAGCCTCCCACACTCACTTCCCCACAGCCCTGCCTGTCCTCCCCAGTGTCACCCAGGCCCTTCTCTTCCTCCCAGCTACTCGGCCTTGATTCTGGTCCCACTGGGGTCTCCTGTGCTCCTACAGGGAGGATCCAGCTGCTGGCATCTGTCGCAGGGGCCCAAGCTCCCCATGGTCCTCTAGCACAGTGGCTCGCCAGCCATGTGAGGACTCTGTCAGAGGAGAGGCATTGGTGTGGCCGCAGCTCCCTGTTCACAGCACTGGCAGGCACAGAAGTGCAGCTCCTTAGTCTGGACTCCAGCCTTGCACTGGGGCCTCACTCCTTCTCCCCACCCAGCAGCTGGTCAGGCTGTCCAGAGGAGCAGGGTAGAAGCGGGCTCTTTCTGAAGGCCCCTTCTGTGCGTCAGTAGCTCTTTCCTGCCCTGCTGCCACCATCCCCTGCTGTCCACGTGCTGTGCCCGTGTCTGCGCACTCACCTCTGTTCCTGCTCTGCTCGCAAACTCCTGGAGAAGACCTGCTCCTCTTGCTTGGGGCCTCCCTGCCAGTCCAGTGCTTGCCTAGCGTGTGGTCCCACGGGTGCTCTGTGATGGGACCAGGGCATGGTCAGGGTTTCACAGGTGGCTTGGTCCTGGCTGGGCAGGTTTGTCTCTGTGTGTCTGCAGGTCAGGCTTCCCTCCTGCTGGCAGGGGTGCTTGTGTGCGGAAGCTAGGACAGCTTTCCTCTTGCAGGTGCTCTGGACACAAAGCCAGAAGTGGTGGGGTAACCTGGGGGGAGCCACTGTGCAGGCCTCCGGGAGCTGCCTCCCAGGCAGGACTCCTGCTGTGCCCAGTGGGGGTGGGGCTGACCCTCCCTCTCTTCAGGTTGCAGCCTCTGCCCTCCCAAAGCTGAGCTACCGCCATTGGCAGTCGGCTTGCTGCGCCAAGGGAGGGGGCAGGGGGTCCTGGGTGGGTAGGTGCAGAGCACTATCATCCCCATGGTTACTCAACAGCCTTCTCCCCTCTCGTCCTCCTTGTACTCCACTGCCTCTTCCTCCACGTTATCCTCAGACTGGTGTCTTCCAGGTCTGGGTGCGCTGCCCCTGCACACACAGCCCCTGGTCGGCACAGACCGCGTGTCCCCATCCATGCACAAGCTGCGCCAGCACCGCCCGCTGGGGCGCACGCAGTCAGCACCGCTGCCGCAGAGTGCACAGGCCCTGCAACACCTGGTGATCCAGCAACAGCACCAGCAGTTCCTGGAGAAGCACAAGCAGCACTTCCAGCAGCAGCAGCTACACATGGGCAAGGTGGGTGAGGGTGTGGGGCAGGCTGTGATCAAGGTGGATCTGGGCTATCAGCACCTCTGCCAGGTGGGGGTGGGGTCCCGCGTGGGCTATGCCCACAGCTCTTCCTTTTGGGGCCTCTGTCTTTACCAAGTAGATCTTTATGAAAACCGTGACCCACAGTCCCCAGCTCTGGGATACACTTATCACCTGCTGACCTATCAGTCACACTGCTGGGGTGCCCCTGCCCATGGAAGCCCCTGAGGTCACTTGGATAGCTCCACCTTGAGTAGGAAGGAGTGCTAGGGCCAGCCTGTGGGACACCAGAAGCACTCAGCTTAAGTTTCAGCTGCTGCTGGCACTTGAAGAAAGCATGTGGTAGGAAAGGACGGAAGAGAGATGGGCTGCTGTGAAAACAGCCTGCCAGCCCCTCAGGAGGTCAAGCACTGAGTCACCACGTGGCCCGGGTGTGGCCCTGGTCCACGACATGCGCACAGCCATGTTACTCGTCATGGGCCAGTGGTGGATGTGTACGGTGGTAAGTTGGTAGAGAACTGCACAGTCACAGTTCAGCCAGTCACGGAGACCATGCATTGTGGGGCTTAATTCGTATGGAATATCCAGAACTGGCAAGTCCACAGAGACCAGAAGGGGGGACTAGGCTCCAGGGCTGGGCTGGTATGGGAAAAGTGCAGGGTTCCTTTTTAGGTGTGATAGAAATGCCCTCAAGTTAAACTATCCGTGGGGGAACACACTGTAAGATCCTCAGTGCATGCCCGGAATGGCAAGGACTCAGCCCTGTGTATGAGCAGGACAGTGTCAGAACAGTCAGGATGACAGCTAGATGGTGATTGGGTGGCCAGGCGGGCAGGTGGCATGTGCAGCGTGGATGTGCTAGACAGAGAAAGGCCGGTGTGTGTGCTGGGTAGGACGGGGCAGGTCGGTGCAAGGTTTCATCACACAACTCAGAGCAGAAAGCAATTTTAATCTTAAGAATTGTTTAATTCTGGAATTAGTTTTGGACCTTGATTGACCACAGGACAGCAAGGACAAAGAAGAACTACTGTATCTCAGTAAAGCTATTACAGAAGAAAAGAGGCCAGATAATAGAAGGAGTTTCCAAAGGAGCTCCCAGAGCTCGTGGCCGGCTCAGAGGTGGACAGAACTATTTCTTGACTATTTCTCCCCGCCTTGGGAGGGCCCCTGCCTGCGGCAGGATCCTCTGTTCCCCAGGAGGGGACTGTTGATGGGCAGGGAAGAAAGGGGCTCCCCTGGAAGGTCAGGCACAAGGTTCCCTGAGACAGGCCGCAGCAGGAGGCAGGCCCTCTCTGCACCCCTCCAGGGTAGATGCTAACCCATGGCACCTCCACCCACATGCTTCTCTCAAGCCCCTGGTTCTAGCTCAGACCCCACAGTCATAGGCTTGATTTCTCCAGCGCCCAGGACAGGTTGCCTCAGAAAGCATCCCTTAGCCATGACAACTGGCTTCTGCCCAGATCCACCCCAGAGTATCCCTGCCACAGGCTGGGGAGTGCACGATCAAGGAGGCGGGCCCCTTAGTCCGGTCCCCTCATGCCCACCGGACACCACGGCATAAGGTCACCACACAGTGCTGCAGGCCCTCACACCAGACAGCGTTGCGCGTGTCGGAATGGGGGCACCGAACAGCTCTCATTTGCACAGGAAAGGCCCTGGTTGGGGTGAGATGGCGCCTGCCAAGTGTCGTTACTCCCAGTGTCAGAAGCACTTGCACACCTGTCTTTCTAGTGCAGCAGAGGTCTATTAATTTCATTATGCCACTCTCAGAGTGATAGGGTAGGAGGTTTGCGGAACACAAGAAATACCCATTCGTATGTGGCTTATTCTTGAAAAGAGTGATTCAGAGACCAGGAATCTCACTGGACTTTGTTCCATGCTTGATTTACAGTAGCACTTGACAGTAGAGTGGAACGGTGGCACAGTGCTTTCCAGGATGCTCAGGAGGACAGTGCCCTTGCCTGACCTGCGCCGGTGTCCTGCCCTGGGTCTGTGACGACGCCGTCGCAAGGGCTTGCCTCTGGGTGGACGTGGTGGGGACCACAGCAGGGTCTTGCAGCCCTCTGCTCTCTCAGCCTTCACCCCGTTGCGGGTGGTGTCAGCCCCATTGCTGCCTCTACCTGCATGGAGTGAGGGACTTCGGGGGATCATGTGCCATTCAAAGGTGTATGGGGCTAGGCGCCCTGGCGGTGGCTTTTGTTGGCTGCCACACCTGGCCCTCCTCCCAGTCCTATTGCCGAAGCAGGAATTGGTGTTAGGCCAATGCCTTTTTCTCTCTACCAGAAGAGCGTGTGTGAAGGCGTCTTTACCACTGGAGTTGAAAACGACTCTTGCAGCAGTTTCAGGTCACAGCTCTTGTCACTTGACTCCTGCAGCATGATGCTTCAGTCAGATGTTCCCTTCAGCGTAACTCTCCCAGTTTTGAGTAGGGAACCCTAGGCTTGCCTGCGTAATCTCAATGCGAGACTGTTCGTAAATGTTCACGTGCTTGCTTTGGCCTTGAACTCTAGGCGGGCATTTAAAAATATGTTGGTCCAAATATGGCCATGCGTTTGTTCTTCTCCAGCTGAGTCCATGAAGCTCTAGAGGACACACGGACATGTCGTGCCCTTTCCCCTGCCTCCTTGCTGGCTGGCTCTGCTGCCCTGGGCCCAGGAGAAGAGAGCACAGTGTCCAAGGGGAGAGGCCGCCTTTCATGTGCCACAGCTCAGGGAGGCTGGCCACACCTGCACCTCGCCATGCTGAGCCCCACAGGCCGGCCCTGTGGGCTGTGATCCGCTCTTCCTCACAGGTCATCGCACTGCCTTGGTGGCCATGTTCCCACACACCCTCTGGAGGGCAGCCTGGCAGGGCTGGGGCCATCTTGGGGCCTGTCTGCATCTACAGTGTGAAGCATCCCAGCATCGGCCCACAGCCTGGCAGGAGCCGGCCCTCCCGTCACCACCTCCATGGAAGTGTTCCCTTTCATGGAAGTCCTGAGAGCCAGACCTCCACCTGGGTGCCTGGGCCTCTGCTCTGCGAGGAGACCTGCGAGGGCCACACTGCTCTGCCGGGGGCCCTTGGCCAGAGCTGTGGCTGGGCCTGGCTGTCTTCTGGCTCCGCCACTGACACCACTCCCCCAGCCCCTGCCTGAAGGACTTCAGGGACCCAGAAGAGGAAGCCAGGAACCTGTCCTGGAGGTGGAAGCTTCGTAATGTGGGAGATAGCAGGAAATTAAAAAGGGAAGGCTGAGGCCCTGTCGCACTTAAGCCAGCCTGCAGGCCCACGTCGGCACACCCACACCTCCCTCCCCACAGGGAAGTCCCCAGCCACCACTGAAGTCCGCACTGCGGGTGAGGAAAGGACGTCTGCCGGGAGCCTCACCACCAGGGCTCCAGAGGACACTGCCACCTGCCACCCTACTGCTCCTGCCGGAGATGCCTTCACCCTCCTGAGTCGGGCAGGGGCATTTCAGCGTGACACGTCGTGAAAGTCTGAGCTCTCAGAAGGCAGACAGACCCTGCAATCTGCTGCCAGTGAAAGGAAGTGGAAGGGACGCCTGGGACCATTGTTGTGCCGAAGAAGGGCCTCAAAGGGTGTGACTGGGCAACGAGGGGCAGCTGCGCTTGACGCGGAAAGAGCAGGTCTGTCTCCGGACACCTGGGCCAAGGCCACCTAGGGCTTTCGTACACTGTTCTGTTCTTTAGGTTTGAGACATAGAGACGAGGGCCACCCTCCTTTTACAAAGACAAAAACCAGTTTCCTGCCGTGACTACCTCAGCCTTGCCATGACCCATTTCCTCCGTGTGTAGGGCCCATCCCACTGTCCTCCCTTCCCTGGTCCCTGTCCCTTGTGAGGCTCTGCCTCAGGCATGCTGTCCACTCAAAGCTGAGCCTTGCGGGGGTCCTGAAGGGAGCAGGCTCTCTCCAGGTCACTAGGCGGGGACACTCGCAGTGGTACCCCGGCCCCACTGCAAGAGTATGTGCTGTGTGTCTGTGGTGGAGGGGGAGCCTTCCCTGCCCCCTGCCCCATCAGGGTCCTTGCTTCTGAGGGCGCGGCTGCTGCAGGCCTCATCCAGCCCCCAGATTCTGTCTTGGGTTCCTCTGCTCACATTTTCCCCGGACCCCATTCCTTCCTAGTCAAACTCATCTCCAGGCCTTGTCCGTCTCCCAAACCCACACTCATTTCTGGTGGGCAGCTCAGACGTCCTGCATGGGTCCTCGCCAGGGCTCACACTCAGCCCTTCCAGCCTGGCTCTTCTCCGCCCAGGGCCCCGTCTGTCCCCTGACCTGGGCCCTGTACCCACATTCGAGGCTCTGTGACCACGTTTCTCCCACGCGTGCTTCCAGCACACTTGCCTGGGGCACAGGGCACTGTCAGCCTCTCCTGCTGCCCTCTTCCCCGCCCAGCCTCCCTGCACAGGTCTTGCCGCCTCCTCGGGGAACTTTCTGTGCTCTCCAGAGGCTCTGTCCTCGCTGTTCTGTGGCCGTGCGCTGTGGGTCTCAGCAAACCCCATGAACTCGGCAGTTCACCTCGTCCTAGGGACCACAGAGCGCCCAAGGCCCTGCTGACCATGTGTCCTGAAGGCCAAGTACAGATGCCCACGTGGCCTTCAGGGATGCCCGGCACCCCCACTGGCTGTGACAAGACCCCACCAGGCTCCTGACCTCCTTGCCTCTGCGCAGGCTGAGGTTGGACCACAGAAAGCTGGCTTTCGCCAGTCAGAGGTGACCGTGAATCCCCAGACCATCCACTGTAAGAACATTTAAAATCGTGCTTTCTAAAACCAACTTCCGTCTTTGCAAGCAGCTGCAGAGGTTGGCAGCTTATTTCTTTGAAGTAGGTTTCTCCTAGCTCTGTGGGCTGCTTCTGAAATCAGATACAGAGAGGTGATCTGACCCTCACACGTGCTGCACTCTCCAGAGCCAGGCTAGGGGTGTGTCTTGACCTCTGCTGCCTGCCCTGCTCGTGTCTGTGCTGACACGATGCGCTGGGTGACTAGAACCTGCCCATGCCTTAAGGGACCAGCATCCCCATTTCCTACTCTGCCCAGGGCTCTGCCTCTGTGACAGCGGGTTTTGCCAGCTGCCCTGTCCTGGACTCGGCGATCCCGGCACCTATCCTCCCTTTTGCTTGCACCCTGTGCGGACAGCAGCCATGTCTGATGAGCGCTTGCCTCCTCAGGATTAGGGGGAGAGACATATTCAGTGTCTGCAAGGTGTGGCTTCTCAGCCGTGCTTTACCTTAAACTGGTTGACAGCAAAGTTGTAGGACAGTCCTGTGACAGAGCCCCTCAGCCCACCTGGAATGCCCCGCATCCTGTAGCTCTGAGGGACAGCACTCACCCTCTTGTGTGGTGTCTGTACCTGGACAGGTGATAGAGCAGCGGCCTCACAGCCGAGTTCTGCCGGCCTGTCCTCGGGCTGGGAGAGAGGCTCAGCAACAAGTGTGTGAGGACTTCGGAAAACACAGGTGCGCTGACTGAAGGCCGGGCACCCTGGGCCGTTCCCTCGGGAAGCGGCGTCTGCAGGGGACAGAGCTTCTGCACAGCAGTGCAGCCTTGCTGATGGCCAGCGGGCTCTGTGGCAGCGCAGTGACACGCTGTGTCCAATGGCTTCTTTAGGTTCGGGGACTTGAGATTTGGGTGTCCTTCCCCTGCTGGCAGAGACTATCACGCAGGCATTCATACTGGTCACCTCCTCCTCTGCCAGCCCTCTAGCTCAGGCCTTGCTTGGAGCAAGGCCTTCTGGCCCTCTGGTCAGCTCTTGGTGTGTCCTGCGGGGCAGCTTGCCGAGCGAGGACACATTTCTCTGCACAGCTTGGCTGTGCCCCAGGCATCAGGCTTTCCCTTCCCTGAGCCTCGCTCTTGCTGGGGGCTGTTCCCATGACGTGGAGAGCACCGGCGCCCAGGGTGAATGGCTCTTGACAAGCTGGGCCCAGGGTGGCCCAGGCCCTTGACCACACACCCTGAAGTGCCGAGTTTGTGGAGAGCCCCTCTTGTAGTCTGCTGACCGAGGTCCAAGTTTCCTTGGTTCACTCTGCATTACAGATAATCTCGAAACCCAGTGAGCCAGCCCGGCAGCCCGAGAGCCACCCCGAGGAGACGGAGGAGGAGCTCCGTGAGCACCAGGCCCTGCTGGACGAGCCCTGCCTGGACCGGCTCCCAGGGCAGAAGGAGGCACACGCGCTGGCTGTGCAGGTGAAGCAGGAGCCCATTGAGAGCGACGAGGAGGAGGTGGAGCCCGCGCAGGAGGCAGAGCCTGGCCAGCGCCCGCCCACCGAGCAGGAGCTGCTCTTCAGACAGGTGCCCCATGGGGGTGCAGCGGGCAGGCACTGGCAGCCCCCTTGGTGCCCAGGCTATGTCCTCTGGCTGATGGAACTCCCCTGTCTCACATGTGCTGCACGTTGCCCCACAGCGCACACTGTCCCTATCCCTTAGGGTGGTGTCCTGCAGATCTGCAGGCATTCGTCTAAGAGCCCTGCGCACGTGAGTTAGGGAGAGACGGGCTTGATTTGTTGGGGAGGTAAAGGGCAGGCAAGCTGATCAGAAACCAGGAGCTACTGGGGGCCAAGGAGGTGCTGGTGACCAGCCTTACAGATCCAGGAAAACAGTATGAGTTGGACACCCAAAGCCAGTAAGGTGCTCAGACACTGATGCAGAGTCACTAAGCTCACAAGAGACTGATGGGAAATCCAATGAAGGTTTCCTAAGTTCCAGTGAAAAGTACAGCTGGCAGTGAACAGAAGCACTGGGATAGTCAGTCAACAAGCTGGAAGCCCTGGTTAGAAGGTGCTTTCCTGCAGACTGGGGAAGACCTGGGCAGGCTCGGCGGGGCTCCCCTGTGTCTTGCAGAAGGCTCTTAATCTTCCCCTCTGGGTGCCACCTTGCCTCCCCCAGGGGGTCCTGCAGGGCTCATATCCCCCATCCCCACCCCTGTGTACCCAGGCTGCCAGCTGGTGACCACACTCTCCACAGAGCCCAGGGAAACTGCTCTACAGCACCCCATGCCGCCAGTGGGGTGGTTTGGGTGTGGTGTTTGCTGTCCACCTTGCACAGGGCTGTTGAGACCTCAAGGCAGGGCTGTATCTACCATGCCCTGTGCTCTGCCTGCTCAGTGTGGCCCTGTCTGGCTGTGTGAGTGAGCATGTGTGTCACCCCTGCCCCTGAGCTGGGAAGTGGGGTCCAGGCAGCAGCCAGCCACTCTTTTCCCCACAGCAAGCGCTCCTGCTGGAGCAGCAGCGGATCCACCAGCTGAGGACCTACCAGGCATCCATGGAGGCTGCAGGCATTCCCGTGTCCTTCAGCAGCCACCGGCCTCTGTCCCGGGCTCAGTCCTCCCCCGCATCTGCCACCTTCCCTGTGACTGTCCAGGAGCCCCCCAGCAAGCCAAGGTTCACCACAGGTAATGCCACCTCTCACAGGGTGTCTGTGGCCCTGAGACCACAGTCTGCTGGTTTGGGTGGCGAGCAGGCACAGCCACAGAAGGCCGCTTCCTCTTCTAGAGAACCCTCGTCCTCGTGGGCTACTCGGGCCTCCTGCTTCATCTGAGGTTGGCACACGTTGGGCTGGCAGCCATTGCAGCCTTGGCATGAAAGGTGTTGAGGCTGAGAGCTCAGGAGGAGCATGGTGCCTGTGCAACCTGGGCAGTGGAAGCTAGACACTCGACAGCAGCCCCCAGCTGCCAGAGGCAGATAAGGCCGGCTCCTGGTGGCCACAGCGCCCAGCCCTGATGGAGAAGGGTAGCATCCCAAGACTGCCACGGGGACAAGCTAGAAACTGGGATAGCTGTCCATGGTTTCTGAGCTCATATTTGTCTTTAATGATGCGTGAAGAAGAACGTCACGTAAACAGAGTGATTTATTCTTCACAAGCCTCGTAAAGCGTCTCGTTCTGCATGCCACAAAGATGGCTAAGCTCCCCAGTCTCAGGGTACTGTTCCTGTTCAGAGAAGAACTTCGGCAGTAATTATCCCAAAATTGAAGTGCTGCTTTTCAGAAAGAAAAGTAGGAAGAAAGCCACAGAAGGCCACAGAGCTGGCAGGGTAGCTCCTGCACAGGCCTGGGCTGCAGACTGCCCCTCTGGAGCGGGGAGACCAGGCTCCGCAACATGTGGACTCACCCTGTGCTGGTCGCAGGTGACTTCCAGGCACCCCCTTTGTTGGTGCCCTTTCCTTTGTTGGTGCTCATCTTCACTAACAGATGAGCACACTTTCCCTGTATAGAGGCAGGTGGGGACCCGAGGAAAGGGCCAGCACTAGCTGGGCTGTGGGCTCAGCCCCACCCATTGACTCCTCCGCCTCGCCCAATGGACAGGCGGACACAGATAGGACTCCCCTCACAGACGGCCCTATGTCGGTCCCCTGCCCCACCTGCACTCAGTGCCACGCTCCCTCCTTCTAGAACTTCCCAGTGGTTGCCCAGCAGTCCTGGCGCTTCCTTGGTCCCTGTAGCTTTCCCTCCTGGAAGGCAATGGTGCTGCAGGGCCTGCACCAGCTCCTCTTGGGGTGTGTTGACTGTGGAGTGTGTGGGACATCTGCATGTCCAGGCATGCTTGTGGCCAGTGTGTGTCTACCCAAGAGTGTGGACATGGCCATCACAAACTCCCAGGCATAGCCACCTGCCCACCCCCCACTGGCCGCACTCCTGCTCCCCACACCCACCATTCACACTGCTGCCTTTTTTTCTTTTTCAACAAAAGTCTCATCTTCCAGCATTTAGTTCTGCTCGTGCACCCAGAGCCGCTGGGTCCAAGGGACCAATTCCCATTAGCACAGCATATAAGAGACCAAGCTGGAAGGTGCGAGAACTAACACACACCCAGGGCCAGGCATCCGCCTTGGCCAGGTAAGCCTGCTTCTTTTCAGTGATGGAAGCATGAACAGGAAGAGTGACTTCAGGGTAGAAACATAGGTGATGGACTAAGTGTCCATCTGATACCACAGCCCGGTCTTCACAGTCCCCACTGTCCCCAGCCCAGACAGATGTGTATCAGTCAGTGGACGCCCGTGTTGGTGCCCTGCCTGCCGAGGGTTCCCATTCCCTGTCCAGTGGCCCCGTGCCCAATCTGGGAGAGTAGGTATGATGGCCCCATGGGGCACAGCACCTTCTGAGTTTGTGTGACATGTGCCCAGCTCTGTGATCCCCGTGCATGCTCATGAGCGCGCATGTGTGTAGGGCCCTCCATTGCTCTAGGAATTTCTGAGGACTCCAGCACTGTGTTCCTTTTGACCCCAGGGTCCCAGAGCAACTTCACACAGAGATTGGCCCATGACTAGGTGACTTGCCCTTCAGGGACCCGCCCCTCTTACTCCTAGAGGCCAGTGTGGTCCCCTGCAGCTCAGTGCTGTGCCATCGACATCTCCTCCTGCGGACCTGCCCTGTGTGCATGCAGCACATACCCACATGGGCCTGAGACCCCGTCCTGCACGGCAGCCCTGTGACCCAGCCCCGCCTCCCACAGGCCTCGTGTATGATACGCTGATGCTGAAGCACCAGTGCACCTGCGGGAACACCAACAGCCACCCTGAGCATGCTGGGAGGATCCAGAGCATCTGGTCCCGCCTGCAGGAGACAGGCCTCCGCGGCAAGTGTGAGGTGAGGGCGCCGGGAGCCGGGTTGGGGCATCCTGTTGCTCTGCTCTTGCTGCAGGTGCTGCCACAGGCCACACACGAGGAAGAGTCTGGGCTCTGGCTGGAAAGGGCTGGGGCAGCTCCACCCAGCACCACCCAGGATCACCATGGCGGGTTCCTGTTGCTGTCGCAAACTCCCTGGGCTGGCACTTGGTGAAGAGAAGAGGTTTATCTGGCTCTGGGTTCTCTGGGAAGTGCACACAGTGCATCTGGCGAGGGCAGCTGGCTGCCTGGGGCAGAGGCCAAGGGCCTGGGTGGCCCTGTGCCTGTTTACCTCCCTCCAGGCCCACAGCTCAGCACCACCATGTCAGGGACCAGGCAGCCAGCTCCCAATCACTACACAGCCCAAGGCTACTTTCCTGAGATACTGCCTCTGACCCACTGGCATCCTTCCCTGTTGGTGCCCTCTGTGCTACCTCACTGGCCTCCTTTCCGGCCATCCTGCCTCTCTTGCCATCACCCTCAGGAAGCAGTTCCCTCTTGCGCCTGCTGCTGCCCAGGGTACCTTTTAAGCCTCTGTAGCTCAGGGGCCATGGGGAAGTGGCTCAGACCCAGCCTGCTGCCTTCCCACTGAAGACTGCACTCTTACACCATGGAGGCTGCAGGAGAGCCTTGGCCGCTGTTCCCCTGCAGTGTGAGTCCCCACGCAGTAGCAGCTCAAGCAGGCGCAGCATGGGCTGGCTGTCTGCCCTGAGCCTGCTTCTCGTCTTCCTCCCCTCTGCCCATGGGAGTCCCGCACAGAGGCCTCGGTGCTGTCCCTGGCCAGTCCTCAGGCTTCCTATACCTGGCAGTGGTGACAGCCAGGCTGCGCTTGGACAGGAAGGCTGGGCTGAGGCAGGAAGCTCAAGTGGAGGTCCCTTCTCCCTCCGGCCCTGCTGGAGCCCTCTGCCAAGGTGCCAGCGGCCATAGCATCCTGAGCATTGCTGGTCTGGTGGCTGGCCCTGCTAAAGCACAAGCATGGAGGGAGGGCCTGAGGCAAGGTGCTGGTGGTTCAGACAGCCTCATGTCCCACCAGAGGGGGCCCAGCACAGCTTCCACACATGTACCAGGGATCCCACCAACTGGAGAAATCCATCCTCATTTGTCCTGGAGCAGTCCACACTGCTGTGGCGTGCAGAGCCCTCTGAGTTCCGGCTGCCTCCTCTCACCCTCCTGTTGTCCCCCTCCTCCATCCTCTTTTACAAGCTGGATATCCCAGTGTTGGCTCACCTCCTGTACCACCTCTAGTGGGGATGCCCTGTTTTCAGGTGACAGGGCCTAGTGCCCGGCCCACTTCTCCTGAAGTGCTGTACCCTAGGAGGTGACCTGGCAACCAGTAGTGTTGGGGCAAAGGGACAGCTGCGCCACTGGGGGGCAGCACCGCCCAACAGACAAGGCTGTGAGGGAGCTCTTCCTCATGGCCAGCTGCACAGGGTGGGCCTGACATCCTCCCCTTCCAGAACCTTCTCCGGTCATCTGGGGTTCGTCTTCCGTTCAGCTTTCCTTTCTTAGGAGGGCCACTCAGGCTAGAGGCACTTAGAGGCCATTTCTCAGCCAGAAAAGCCAGCGGGAGCCAGGCAGGAGTGTGGAAAGAGGAACATAGGGGGCCGCTGGGTAGAGGGCTCAGGCGCTGAGTGGGGCTGCAAGAGGGAGGAGGCTTGCAGGGGGGTGCTTGGGCGCAGCAGTAGTGCTGGAAAAGCCAAGGCAGGTACCATCCCAGATGTGCTGCTCTCCTAGGGCAGAGAGCTCTGTGTGTGAACTCAGCTTAGGTGCGTATGCACCAGGCTCCCAGCCAGGGCCCTTACTCCTGAGAGTGCAGAGCAGGGCTGCCCAGGCCTGGTTGCCTGACAGCCCAATGGTCGGTGCCTCAGCTTCTCCCAGCCCCGCCTCCAGGACAGCAGTGAGACTCGAGCTGGCCCAGGGTGGGGATACCCCCTGGGTGGGACCGGTGGGAAGTCTGTGTGGCCGATGTCTGAACATCCTGTTTCATCTATCTCGAGTATTTGTGAGGGTGGGTTTTCTTCTTCTTCTTTAGCTCATGCTAGCATTCCCTTTAGGAGCTCTGCCTCTGGCCTCACCTAGGATGCCTCACTCCACTTCAACTCATATCCAAGGGCCCAGCCTCAGGCAGGGGTGCCTGGCCACTGGCCTTGCCCGCCTCTCCTGCTGTCCATATTCACGGCCCTTCTTGGCACCGTGCACCATGACTGCCATGCCCCTACACGCACAGCACACCTGGACCCTGGCCAGACAGGATACGGCCCAGACCCCAGTGTGTTTGCTGTGAGGGTCAGCAGTGTAGCCCTCCACATCCAGGGCCTCTGCCCACAGGTCCCTGCCCTCGGGAAGGCCAAGCTCTGCTGCGTCACCCTTGTCCCTCTCCGCCCTGCACAGGGAGACCCAGGGCACGGTATGTCTTGCAGGGAAGCTCTGTAAAGAGTGAGCTCAAGCACAGCCCCAGGCTCAGACCCTGAGACCTACAAGTCAGTGAGCCCTGGGCCAGGCAAGTGGTCTCGACAAGGCCAGAGTCCAGGCGACAGCCAGTATCATGGGCCTGCATGCTGTTCTCCCTGCATTCATCAGGCCTGCAGGAGCTGGCTGTATGAGATGCTGACTTTGATCTCGTGTCTGAACCACTTCCCTTCTAAGCACTTAAGTGAAGAGCTCAATTGAAAATGGCAATTTTTCTGTTAATTTCTGGGGCAAACCTGAAAATAGCCCATCTTTATTTAAGCACTTTCTGAACCATAGAGACATGGTCCTGCAGATCACAAGTCGGGTAGCAGCGACCTCCCACACATGCCAGCCTGTGCTGCTAAGGAGGCTCCCTGCAGTGGGTCGCAGTGTGCCTGGAGTGGTGGCTCTTGAACTCGGGGACTGGCGAGGACAGCACACACTGCCTTGGGCGGCTGTCTGCTATTCGAAGGCCACCGTGATCGTTGATTGCCAGATCACCTGTGCAACAGTGAAAGGCAGGGCACCAAAGGCTGTGATTATCTTCGTAAATGAAGTGCGAGTCCTCGAAACAATTTTTAAAATGTTTCTTAAATATTGTGTCAGGCAATGTTTGCTTTGTGTTTTACAATAATCCAGTAACTGTGTGCATGCTCTTGTATCAAGCTGAGTTCCCCTCCGGCAGTTGCGTTGTCTGTGGAGCTGAAACGGCGGCTGACATGCAGATGGGATCTCTGCTCTGTCCCCACAGTGCGTCCGCGGACGGAAGGCCACGCTGGAAGAGCTGCAGACAGTGCACTCAGAGGCACACACGCTCCTCTATGGTACAAACCCCCTCAACAGGCAGAAGCTGGACAGTAAGAAACTTCTAGGTATTTCAGAGTCTTCCTTCATCCCTACTGGGTTTAACCTCACCCGCCCACATGTTTCCAGCACATGGCCCCTGTAGTTGGGGCAGCCACAGGTGGCCCAGGCTCTGCAGAGCTGGCCAAGGGCTGCAGGAGAGATTCTGCCCTCTGTTCTCAGCTGGTCGCTGCTGAGCGCCGTGTATAGGCTTTAGGTGCAGACAGGCTAAGGACCGCCAATTCACAGCACCTGGTCAGCAGAGTCTGTATGCCGGGGCTGTTCAGAGCCCTGCTCTGAATGCCATTCCAAGGCTCCCTGGGGCAAGGCTAAGAGGAAGCCTGGGGTCACGGCCTAGCCACCCCTCAGGCGCCTGAGCATCAGCCACGGGCAGAGGCTGGTGGTTTCTTTGGCGTGGCAGCCAGCCCTGTGTACATGGGTGCAGGGGAGAGCTTGGCCTTGGGAGAAGCAGTAGCAAGGGCTTTCCTGGCTCATCCCAGGGTCTTCAGCAGAGCAGTGGAGCTTGACAAATGCCTCAGGCTCCATGGGATCCCTAGCTGCAGAGTGGGGGATGGAGCTCTGTGCACCTCTTGGGCAGAGACCTGAGACAGCTCCCAGGCTTGCTGGGTAGAGTCAAGGACAGGGCTCCGAGGCTCCCTGAACGCAGATGTGGGGTGGACCTCCACAGGCTGCCCTCTCTGCTGCGGTGTTCTTCCCCAGCCTGCGGCCACCTCGAGCCACTGGTCCCCGATCAGTGTTTCCTGTCAGCACTCCCCTGGCCAGGAGCCATGGGTCACAACCAGCACGGCAGATGGGCTTGGCTGGGCCTGCAGGTGGCATGCAGGCTTGTGGAACGTTTGCTCTGTGCCAGACCTGTGTTGAGCAGACAGCCTGCAGGTGCAGTTCCCTCACTCCCCCTTCCTTTCACCTCTCATTTCCCCCTCTCCTCCCTTATTCTCCCACTCGCTCATTCCTTCTGTGCTCCTTCGCCCCTCCTACCCCCACTACTCACTCACTGATTAATTCATCCACTCCTTTGTCCACACACTGCCTTGTGCACTCCAAAGGCATTATCTGTAGCAGGCGCCCTACAGGAGCTGATCTTGCCTGGGATCTGTGAGGACACTGGTGGGTGCCAGCCTCCAGGGTGTCATGCTGCTTCCTGTGTTCACTGCCTACAAGTGACAGATATTTGGAGAATCACAAAGCGGGTAAATGGCAGCAAGCTTTGGAGGCTGAGAAGCCAGGGCACATGATCCAGTCTCAGCAGGCAAGGAAGTGGACCCACTGACCCAATCAGCTCAGACCCCGTGACTGCAGAGACCAAGGACTGTAGACGGAGGAGCCAGAGGGAGCTCGAGTTGAGAAAGGGGCCAGAGCAGATGGAAGGGTCTCTGGTCTCTATGCCAGGACCCTGGCTGCACTGTCCTGAGCACTGCTGCTTCTCCAAAGAGGGCATGACAGGGCTCCCTGGGCTGGACATCAAACCTCCTTTCCCTGCCCTCTCTTGCTGTGCTCCCAGTGCAGCACCCACCTTTACCCTGGAGGCAGGAGGCCAGCAGTGGGTCCTGACAGCCATTCCAGGTCCCCTGGTGTCAGGGCTCGCAGTTACTAAGCCCCTGCACATCCACGGCTGCCAGTGGTAGACTCTGCAAGCCGTAATGAGCAGGCACCTAAAAGGAGCTGCAAGCTAAGGCCAAGCAGGTGGGGCAAGGCAGCGACTCTGGGACGGATGCCATCGGTAGGGTCCTTGGAGAGAAGACACTACATCCCATAGCACGAAAAGCAAAGGAGAAAGTGCAGAATGTTCAGAGAAAGTGAAAATCAAAAGCACCACACAGAGGTGGAAGGAAAGTCCACTGGAAGTGGAGAATATGGCAGCTGGAAGCTGGGGACTGCAAGCAAAAGAAGTGCACAGCCCTGTGTGTATAGAGGAGGTGGGGCGGCTGCGGAGCAGTTGACCAGAGGGTGCGAGGACCCACTAAAGAGGGGAGGGACCAGGAGGAGAGTGCGCAGTCTAGAAAGGACCAGAGGGACGTCCTAGCACAGGACATCCCACCCCTGCCCTCCCGAGGTCTTCAACCAGCCCAGTGTGCTGGAAGGCACAATGGAGGCCTCTGCGGGCTCTTGGAGATCACAGCTCAGGAGCTCCTCTGTCATGAAGCCCTCGGAGGATGAATTCACCAAAGGGAAAGACACCAAAAGGAAGCTGTCTCGGGAAGGAAGCCAGCCCAAGGGCACCCAAGCAGGGTCCTCGTGTAGCAGCACCACGTGCTTCTGGACCACCATGTGGCCACACAATCCCAGGCTCCTTTGCGCATGCACTGGTCCAGGCCGTACAGTTCCTTCTCTGTCCTCCCCCGTTGCTGTTGGTATCCCAGCCCCACAGGCCCTGGTGTTGAGGGCCTCTCCCTGGGATGCATCTGGAACCCAGGCCACTGCTGCCTCCTGCAGGGGTCACCTCACAACAGCAAGTTCTGTCTTTGCTATTCAGCTGGCATTCCCAGCCCAGCTGTCACAGCTAGAACCACAGGAGGGAGAACCATGAGGGTTCTCAAGGGACCCTGCAGCACCCCAAGTGGGGACTGTTGGCCAGAGGGGAGGCAGGCAGGGCTGGCAGACACAGCTTGTGTGTCTGTGGTACAGGCCCCTCGTGTCCTCTGGGAAGAGCTATGTGCTCTAAGGTGTGTGGGGAGGTCGTGTGCCAGGCCCTGACCCAGGGCTGTCACAGCCAGACTTGGAAATTGCTCCAGGGAAGGGGCTTCTAAAGCCTGGCAGCTGCCGCAGTGCACAGATCTTGAATCTGAAGGGGACATGAGGTGACCCAGGAGAGGCTCTGGGGTCAGTGTGAGTTTGGGAGAAGGCAGAGCTCCAGTTGAGAGCTGCTGGGCCCCAGCACAGGACCTTTGCCCCAGTCAGCAGTGCTACCAGGGCAAGACTTCAGCCACCACCAGGCAGTTGCTGGGCAGCCCTCCTGGATATTGCGCAGGCTTCCTGCCTCACACCTGCCCTCAGAATAGCAGAACAGCTGTCTACTTTGAGTCTCCCTGTCCATCTTCAAGGGTCCATGGTGACTTAGCCCTTTGCATACCAGTCTTTCAAGCCAGTGAGATGCCCCAGGGCCAGGGGAACAGCCCCCAAGTCAGAAGAAAGGCCGTGTCATTCACCAGTGGGAGAATGCTCTGGGTTTGAGCCAGTTTCAGACCAGTTTTAAGACCAGGTACTAAGTCAGAAGTCAGAGTGCTGTGGGGAACAGGAAAGGAACATGTGGGAGAGCTCAGAGGTCGACCTCCCTCAGACTTTGGGTTGCCTGGCAACCTGGTCCTCTGCCCCAGGCCACCAGTGGTCCCTGGAAGCCCCTGCTGGGCTTTGTGTTTTTCCTTGAGTGTTTGCCCACATCCTCACTCCATTGCTGTGCCCCTAGCAAGGTTTTGTACACAGGCTTATTGCTTCTTCTGTCAGCCGAGTGTGTACAACCTGGAGTTGTGCCTGTACCCACACAGTGCAGAGATGAGGGGTCATCCAGCATCCTTTGCTTTCCTGCTGAGCTTATGTTTTAAATTGCACAAATATCACCCACTGTCTTAGCACTTGATGGAGGGCTATGTTGAGCTTCTGCTGGTTCTCCTAACTGAGGAACATGACCATCAGTCCAAGTGTAAGTCAAAGTAATAGTGGTTCTCTCAGATTCTGTTAGCAATACCCTCATTCAGTGTCTAAACGCTACTGCATGATTTTCCATCCTCTTGGAATTGAATGTGCAAGTATCTAAACCATGTACAAAGGCCCAGCTGGTAGCCTTTGTAGCTGGTCGCTGGCCTAGTGACAGGCACACCTGCAGGCTTGACTGGAGTGGACTTCAGGCAGTGGCAGGCAATTCACCATGCCTGGACTTCATGTCGTGGTGCCATCCAACCACAGTGCTACATGGAGGGAGTTTGGCCTGGGTGATGCTTGGGAAGGCTGCGCCTGAGGAGAAAAACAGTGTCTTCCTTCCATCCCATCCCTGCCACCAGCCCACCTGCTGGCCAGCAGACAGACAGACAGACAAGGGAGAGTGGGTCTTCATGCCTCAGGCCAGAGGTCTGTGGCCCTGAGTATGACCACAGACCACCAGAAGCCAGAGCTGTGCTGCAGGGGAGCACATATACCCCCAGAGCAGGAACATGCAGAGGCTGCTGGTGACAGACACTCTGAGACCCTGGATCCTGCTACCATACAGCCTCCCAGTTGAGTGTCTGCACCCCGCCAGCTGCCCAAGCATGAGATTTCTGTTCGTCATGGGACTACCTCTGGGTAATGAGCAAGATCAATCTTTAGAGAACCTTAGGTTTGAACATAGATGTTTTTGACTGTCATTGCAAGGAGAATCGGTCTCCCACAGAGCCCTAGACGCCACCTTCGGGTACACAAATGTGTATGCATACAGGCCCAGGCAACCTGGAAGAAGCTCCTCACGCCCACCATGCTGCCCTGCTCTGGGACAGAGACTGATGGACAGGGTCGCTCCCAAAGCCAGCCCAGCCCCGCTGGCTTCTGCACCGAGGCCTCCAGGCAGTACCACCGTGGCCGCAGCCGTGAAGTAGGCCATCGGCTAACTACGACAGGAAACAACAGCAAGCAGTCCAATGCTCCTTGGGACCTGTGCCTTCCTTCTCCTAGCCCCACCCACAAGACTCCAGGAAGCTTCGTGCAACTGTGCACCCCATGTTCATGTGCAGAAGTGGGGCCCAAGCCTCAGAGCCCCACGTCCCAGGGAGGAGGGCGGGCAGGTTGGCAGGAGCCGGCCCGGGTGGGACCTGAGGGTCTTGGCATGGAGGGGAGACCCAGCCACAGTGCTGCCTCTGTGGGTGTGAGCTTGTGCCCGGAGGGCAGCAGGGGAAGTGCGGTACCTGCTTAGTGCCTGTGTGCCTCTGGCCAAGTGGGACTCACCTGCACAGATCCCTCCGCCAGGCGCATACCACAGCACAGGGGCCCCAGGCTGCACAGCTGCCACCCCTGAGCCAGCCTCTTGCTCTACCAGCTGAGCTGCGTTTACTCATTTACACAGACCTGAGTCCTTCTGGCCACCCCCTGCCCCATCCACAGGGCAGCCCTCCTGGCCTTCAGATGTGGACACTCTTGTTCTGCAGAGGCGGGATACCAGAGCCTTGGGCCCACACCAGTGTTCTGCACCGTCTTTTGTGGGGGCCTGATGGGGACAAGCCAGGGTTTCCCAACCCTTTTGTGCCCACTGCTCTTCGGGCTCTTTCTGCCCACACAGGTGCTCCTCACAGTGCTGAGACAAGGAAATGCCATCCTCATCCGCATGGTCAGGCCCAGCCGCCCCGAGCCTGCTTTCTTCCTACACCACTGGGCAGCTGGTGCCAGGGCTAGGTCCCTGAGATCAGAGCAGAGATGTTCAGGATAAGGGGGCAGGAGAAGGCATGCACCTCCCTGGGGTGCTCACCAGGCTGGTCCCTGAAGGATGCCACGAGCCACGTTCACATCTGCCGTCTCAGCCTTCGTGATGGCCAGGCTTTGGGATCATCTTCTGTCCTCTGCCCACTCTGTGATCACATGGAAGAGCACAGTCCCCCTCCCTGGCACACCCTTGTCATTGGGTATACGTCAGGCCTGATGATGTGGGGAGCAGGTGACAGCTACGGGGCTTCAGCGTCACCTGTGTTTGACCGAAGTGGAAGTAGGAGGAGCCAGGAGAGCTGCGGCCCCTGGAAGGCCCTCCCTCCTCCATGGCGGTTGAGGCATAGTGTGGGAGTACAGCTGGTCGTGGTGCTCATGGGAGACAGGACTGGTGTCTGGGAAGCAAGGTTTGCAGTAGGCACAGCTGGGACGCAGGACTACTCTCCAAGCGGCACTGAGCACCGGCAGGAGGCCAGCGTACCTCACCCCCATGGCCCGAACCTGAGGAGAAGGCTGATGCCATTGGAGAGGCTGTGTCTACTGCCAGAGTCTGTGCCACATGTGGGGGACATTGTCATTTGTGGCAGCCCAGGTATCAGTGCCACAGTGCCAGCTGAGAATGGGGCATCACCAGAGCCATTGGGTCCCAACCTCTGACCCTGTCCTCTCCCCACAGGCTCCCTGACCTCTGTGTTTGTGAGGCTCCCTTGCGGTGGTGTTGGGGTAAGTAGCTCTTCAATATGTAAATAACGTCCTGTTTGTTCTTGGTGTCCAGTGGTCACAGAAGTCCTCCTTGCCTTCCTTAGTGGGTAATTGCTGCCAGGCGTTTTCCATAAACGGCCGCTGTTGAGCAGACGGGCCATGTGTGGCTTCAAAGGCACTGAGAGCCGGGAGTGTGTCATCACCGAGCTCAGGCACCTTTGTCAGGCGGGTCTCCTGGCTCGTGCATGCTCTAGTTCCTGTGGTCTGCACGGGAGTCCGGGAGGTGGACTCACGTGCAGACCACAAGTTCCTCTGCAGACCACAGCAGCGCTCTGCTCCAGCCACGTCCTAGGACAGCGTGCTTCTGTGTGTCCACTTCCCATCCAGAGCTGCAGACCGAGCTCTCAGTGCACTGACTGTTACCATGGCCGTGTGGCATCTGTAAAGCAGCCAGCCGGGCTGTGGTGACCTCTGATGTGCAGATGATGTTCTAAGCTGGACACACAGGAGAATAGGCAGGGGACACTGAGGGCTCTATCCCGGCATGGTCCTCCCACTGCACAGGGAATCTGGCCCCAGAGCTGGACCTCATTTGCAACAGACACCCCCACGCCCTCTTTTATGAGCAGGGGCCGAGCTGTGCCAGAGACAGCTGCAGTCTATAGGGGAGGCCAGGCCGAGGTGCTGCTGACCATCTATCCTATCCCCTGTGGCAGGGACCCTGCAGAGGTCATGGAGGCAGGGTGGTGGGAGCCGGTGGGCAGCAAGAACTGTCAGGGTAAAGCTGCAGTGTGTAATCACAGGTCCAGGGCAAAGCACAAGGTCTGGATTCTGTTATGGAAATGAAACAAAATTGTTTTCTTCCTGAGTCTTTACAGAAATCGCTGCTTTGAAAATTATCCTGTCAGAAAGTGAATAAACTGCGTTTATTCATACCACACCGAGCGCTCCTAGAGTTATTTTATTTTGTACTGTAAATAGGCTGCAATCTCCTAATTCAGGGCAAGTTTTTGGCCACACTTAAAAAGGTTTGGATTTGCACTGCCCTGCAGCCAGCAGGCCTATCCAAGGCAGAATTTATAATTTGCAAATGAAAGCTAAATGTAAGCTCAGACCTGGAGAGGTTGAGCTTGGGAAGCCCCCTCCCAAACGTTAAAACCAGAAAGGAGCCACCCCTCACATCTGGGCGTAGAGCCCACCGGGAAAGGGTGGACGGGGCCTGCAGGAGCAGGCAGGCAGGGTGTGGGCCGCATCCCGCATCCTCAGTTCCCTGTCTGCCCATTTTCCACTCTCCACGGTGAGAGGGGCTGGAGGGCACGGGGTGCCCCACCCTGGCTTTGGATGGGCTTGCTGGGTTGCTGCACGGCTGCAGGTCCTCATCCAGGGCCAGGGCCTGCCCCTCAGGGTGTCGGGACCCAGTGTGGGCCCGGACACTTCTGTCCAGGTGAGAGAACAGGTGACGGGGGCTGCCCACTTTCCCAGAAGCAGCCTTAAATTGGCGTTTCAGTCATGTAAGTCAAAACATCCTTCCTCAACTCTGTTAAATACAGGTTTTAAATTGTTTGATCTTTTTTTCAAACCAAATGGAAGAAACTTCTGCCTAGTTCACCACCTCATTAACAAGTTTCAAGTTAGTGAGGAGTGGCTATCCCTGGTTTTCACTGTGATCCCTGGCCAGGCTCAGCCCTGCCTGTGAGCATGGCCAGGGCCTGGGCGGCTCCTGTGAGCCTCCAGGAGCTCTGAAGTCACCCCAGCTTTTATCCTTTTTCCTTCTTCCTACGTCTCCCTGCAAGTCTCCTGGAGACTCTTCTCCACCTTTCCCCTATTTTCCTGTCTTTACTGTAAAATACACAGTGGGCCTGTTCGCCCTTTCTGTCCCATCCCATTCCGTTGCATCACCCATGCCACAGCATTCCCGCCTGAGCCGGCAGCCTCGCCCCACGCTGCTCCCTGGGAGCTGGGGCGCCGGGGTCACAGGACCCGCAGCAGGGCGTGTCATCATTGCAAGGAGAAGCCCCTGGTTGCACAGTGGCAACAGGATCCTTCAGTGGCACGGGCTGGCCCCAGCTCTTGCCGGCTGTTCCTGGTAGGCCCTGCAGATCCCACGCATGGTGCCAGGAGTGTGGAGCACATGGGGGACCCTCAGAGCAGGCGGTGTGGGCAGTGGTCCCCTCCTCGCTGCCTTTGCTCAGCTCTGAGGCCAGGCCCCGCGAATTTGAGAGGGAACTTGCTGTGTCGTTTTGCCCTATCGGTGTAGCCCATGGACCTGACCTGCCCGGGACACTGCTACCCCCAGAGGGCACAGGGCCGGCAGTGGAGTCCCCCAGCCTGTCACTTTTGAGCTCAGTGAGTGGGTTAGCAGAAGTCACCAGCCAGAGCAGTACTGTTTATCTGGTCACTCGTCAGTGAGTGTCTACACAGTGTTCTTACACTAGAGCCTGTCCTGGAGGAGTTGGACGTCAGCGCTTAGAGCAGGCGCATGAGGTTGAAGGTGCCCTTTGACATTTGGACACAGGTTTGACCACTGAAGACAGTGACCCTCGCTGAGGGCACTGCTTAGCACTGTCCTGCCCCAACGGCAAAGCTTCAAGACTGCCTGCAGTGGTCAGCCTCTGTCCGGTGGCCTATGGCCTCACCGTGGGCAGGAGCCTCGTGAGCTGGGGCAGGGCTGGGCTGGGCGGAGCTGAGCAGAGGCTCACACAGGCACCGGGTTCTCTTCCGGCACTGATGTCTCTGCACCCTCAGCGGCCTGCTGAGGGGTCACAGTGGGTCTGCGGACCTGTGTGGAAGTTAATAAGGTTGTTGAGCTGTGGTCAAGCAGAGCTTTCTGCAGGCCAGCTACCTCCTGGGAAAGGCCCAAGTGACGCCACAGGACTCTGTGCTCAAGGGACACTTGGGGGTGACTGCTCAGGTACCGAGTTGGCCTCAGGCTATCGCATCCTGGGCCCCTGACCCCACCCAGGGTCCTCAGGGGCCTCCTCCACAGACCTGGCTGTCAGACTCCCTCTCCATCAGCCGGGCCTGGAAAATACACACTCACAGATTGTTTGCCCTTTGAAGTAGAAGCAGTTGACAGAGCTGACTCCTGTCATCCGGACAGAACCTTTGCCCACAGTCCAGGACAGCTCTCAGGCAGGCATGGAGCTCTCAGCTAAGCTGTCAGCTAAAGCTGAAATCTGAAGGGACAACTGCGGAAGTCCTTACAGTTCATTTTATTAGTTGTTAAAGTAACTCTGGACTCCAGGGCATAGTAACTTTAACATGCTTACACATGCTTACAACATTCTGGAGCCTGTAGAAGCAGCTAAGAGAAGGGAGGGCCCCTCAGAAGGGGTGGACACGCATGTTACTTCTGGAGCATTCACTTCTGCAAAAGAGCTGAGCCCAGCATGGCAGGGTCTGCCCTGGCAGAGGGTAGACGAGGCCTCAGGGCCCAGCACAGACCTCGGGACCCTCAGGATAGACCTGACTAGGGCACATGTTCCCGTAGGTGGACAGTGACACCATCTGGAACGAGGTGCACTCATCAGGCGCCGCTCGTCTGGCCGTCGGGTGCGTGGTGGAGCTGGTCTTCAAGGTGGCTACAGGGGAGCTGAAGGTCAGTCGGGGTTCACAGTACTGGGCTGGACACCTTAGTGGGGAGGGGCAGCCACTGCTCTTCAGGCTCACAGGGGCCTCTGGGAGCTCCCATCCTGGGCCAGCTCACCACCCGCAGCCCAGCCATCAGTGGCCTGCTGTCCTTGGAGACCTTTTAGGAGCTGACCACATGGCTTTTTGCTGCTGTTGAGATGGAGAGTACCTGTCGGAGCTGCTTTAAGCCACAGTCAGAGCAGTTTGCAGATGGCACTTGAAGGTGTGACCGGCGGGGACATGCAGCCATCTTACTGAGCATTTCTGGAGTGGGACTACAGCTGCGTGCTGTGTGTGGTACCCACACCCCAGGGCCACCCTGCAGTAGGACAGATGTCCCTAAGGTCCAGCTGGGCTACCTGCCCAGACATGGCCTCTTCCCTCTCACCTGCACCTGGGTCCCCACCAGGTGGCAGCTGGTCATGCACTGTGGGCACCAAGAGCACCCCAGCCCATCCATGCTGTACAGGCCTCCATGGCTGGCTGCAGGCCCTACCAACAGCCCCCTGAAGATGAAACCTGGACAGACTCACCTCTTACCGTAGCTCCTAGCATCCCAGGTGGCCCTGGAAACCAGCTGGCCCCTTTAAGAGCAGGACAAAGAACTCCAAAGGCCCACAGCCACTCTGGCACACCACCCCTGGCAGTGAGGCCAAGAAGTATGAGACCGTGTCCTCCCCTAGGTCCTGGGTCAGCTGAGGGTACTTGTAACAACCTTCTCATGGCTTAAGCTCCGTCTTTCCTGTCACCCGCAGAATGGATTTGCTGTGGTCCGGCCCCCAGGACACCATGCGGAGGAGAGCACACCCATGTGAGTGGATGCAGAGGGCAGGCAGGCCAGCCTGAAGGCCGGTGCACTCTGCCTGCAGTGTTGAGTCTGTCCTGTGTCTCTCTTATCCTCGCGCCAGAGCAGCCCAGTGAGGGGTACAGGCACTGAGATGTGTCAGCCCCCAGAGCTTGATAAAGAGATGGGGAAGTGACAGATGAGAAATGAGGGGGGGCCTCAAAGTGGGTCCAGCGCAGCCTCTGGCAGTTGAGTTTATTGCCAAACTTGAGGGAGGAGTCCGCTCTCACAGAGCAAGCTAATGTGGCACCCCATGGCTTAGAGCAACCAGGGCCAGGCCCCGAGTCACATCACATGGCCTTGCAGCTGAGCTGTTGCCCGCTGGGCACAAAGGCACATCCATGGGCAGCCTCTGGGCTCTTGTTTTGGGTGTCCTGGGCACTTGCCACCCACACGTCTGAGGTCTGAGTGTGGCTCAGTAAGCAGAAGGAAAGGTAGCTGCAGACCTGCCGGGACAAGATCCGCGCGGACTGAGCCACAGGAGCCCCTGAGTACCCCAGAGAGCTGCTGGCCTCAGAGCCTCCAGAACCACTAACAGCATCAGCGTGAGGAAGGATGTGTGTCTAGCACCGAGGCAACTGGGTGTCTGACCCTGCAGGGGTGCATGGCAGGTTTCAGGGTGCAAAGCAAGGAGGCACTGTGTCAGCAAAGCCAGGAAGCACAGCATGGCCCGGAAGCAGTGGGAGTAAGATGGGCTTTGGGTGGGCTCATCAGGGAGTGCAGGCCACACCTGTTTCAGACAGGACTGTCCTTCATGCGCAGAGGAGAGACTGCGACTCCAGGAGTGAACTGGGGCTGGGAACCTGTGGACCTTTGCCTGGGAACCTGCTGCTTACCCCTGGCTGCAGGGCGCTCATGCTCCTGAGGCCGCAGGGTTTCTGCATGTTCTTCCCTCTGAGGTTCTCTTTCTCACATGACCCCAAGTCCTTGGTTAGATCTTCTGAGTCCTGAGTCTGAATGGAACTCCAGGCGCCTGTGTGAGGTTCTGTTGCCGTGTTGGCCAATCATGAGAGGCGCACGGGCTTTCAGAGCACAGCTGGTCTGAACAGAGGCAGCCGGCACTTCTCCATCCTGCTGGGGAATCTAGACAGGAAAAGTGAAAATAAGGAGATTGTTGCTTGTACCTGAGTCACTTTTTTAGCCTGTCTGCCTGGTCCTCCGAGTAAGATTCTCTAAGGCACAGCTGCTCGCTGGGGTGAGAAGTCTGTGTCCCAGAATGTGGAAGGGCAAGTGTAAGCAGCTAAAATAGGCAACTGCTCTGTGTGGTGGGTGACATCCCACGAGATGTCGGTAGGGTTCTGGGAAGTTCTGTGTGGGCCCATGAGGGCAGCTGTGCCACACACCAGTGAGGCAGACCTTCCCATCTCGCAGCCTGTGTGTGTTTGTGTGTGTGTGTGTGTGATGCATGTGGTGTGTGATCTGCATCTCTGTATGCATGTGTGTGTCGTGTATTTGTGTAGTTATGTGTATTGCTAGTGTCTGTGTGACGTGTCTGTATATGTTGAATGTCTGGGTATCTGTACTGTGTGATCTGTCTCTGTGCATATGTGTATATCTGTGTGTGCATGTGTGTACATGTATCTGGATCTGTGTGTATGTGTGATCTGTAGTGTATCTTGCGTGTGTCTGGGTCTGTGTGTCAAGAGTGCATGCATGTATTCATGTGGTACCTATACACATGTGACATGTACGTGTGTCTGTGCATGTTTCTGTGCACACACATGTTTCTCTACAAATGCCCACGTGTGCATACCTGTGTGCACCTGTGCCTCTGTGTGATATGTGTGTGTCTGTGGTGAGTGTGTAGCTGTGTGACGTGTGTATATATGTGTGTGGTATATGTCTGTGTGATGTGTGCATGTGTCTGCTATGTGTATGTGTGTGGTGAGTGCATAGCTATGTGGCATGTGTACCTGTGTGTGTGTGTGTGGTATATGTGTGGTGTGTGTCGGTGTGTATACATATGGCATGTGTACATATGTGTACTGTGTGCCTCTGTGGTATATGCATGTATCTGCCGTGTGTGTGTGTATGGTGAGTGCATAGCTGTGTGGTGTGTGTACATATGTGTGTGCTGTGTCTGTGTGCCTCTGTGATGCATGCCTGCATCTGCTGTCTGCTGGTGTATAGCTGTGTTGTGGTGTACCTCTGTGTATGGTATATGCACGGTATGTATCTGTGTGCCTCTGACTGACGTGCGTGTACTTACGGCATATGTTGTATGTGTGTGTGTGTGTGTGTGTGTCTGGAGTCTATGCTGATTGTATAGCTGTGTGGCGTGTGTAACTGTATGTGTGTAGTATATGTGTGCTGTGCCTCTGTGTGATGCATGCATGCATCTGGTATCTCTGTTGGTGTATAGCTGTGTGGTGTGTATACCTGTGTATGTACAGGACGTGCGTGGTGTGTGTCTGTGTGCCTCTGACTGATATGTGCGTGTTCCTACAGCCTGTGTGCCATGTGTCTGTGTGTGAACATGCAGAACTGGGGGTTCTGGGTGGTGCAGGGCTGATGGATCAATAGCATCAGCTCAGGTCCCGGCTAGCGAGGGAAGAGCCCGCCAGTGCACTCTGCCCGACTCACAGGCCAGCAGTGTCAACAGTGATGGCCGCGCCTCTCTGCCTCCTCCAGGGGCTTTTGCTACTTCAACTCGGTGGCAGTTGCAGCGAGGCTCCTCCAGCAGCGGCTGAATGTGAGCAGGATCCTCATCGTGGACTGGGTGAGTGGTGCTGCCTCCCAGGAGGGCGGTGAGTGCACTGACGTGGGTTTCCCTGGCTGCGGGTGCAGGCTGCGGGCTTTTGCCTCCATGGACACTGGGCCTCACAGGCTTAGCTTTCCCAGAGACTGGCAAGTAGGGCCCACACCAGCCTGTGCGGGCTCCTGATCTGCCAGACACAAGCTGTGGTGGAGGACAGAGGCCAGGGCTGTTGCTCAGCCCGGACCCGAGGAAGGCCAGAGTTCAGAGGTCTCACCCAGCTGTGGCCTCCTGTGTAGGCCCTGACCTCTGACCCGATGGCTGGGACAGTCCCATGGAGATGCCACTTTCATAGCCCTGGCACCTGCCCAGCAGGGCCGTCCCTGCTCTGGCAGTGCTGCGTGGTTGCTGAACCTGAATTCTCAGGGCAGCACACTGACTCCTAAACTAGAAATGAGCCACAGGTGCTTGCTTCATGCTCCTTTCTGAAACTGTTTATATACATGTGGCACGTCCTTCTGGGGATCTACAACATTTCATTTTTTAACAGAAAATAAAGGGCACATCAGGTGGGTCAGTGATTTATATTACAGAAGCCCTTCCCAGTTAGACAAAGAACACAATCCGGGGAGCAGCTGGCTCCCAGGCGGGGCAGCCTGAAGGGAGGCAGCTGAGGCAGGAGGAATGATTTCCATACTGGGCCCCGGCCTACCATAGCCCTTCCTCGGGGATGCCGTGGATGGCGGCATGGCTTCGTGACCACGTCCTGGGCGTGCGCCACGGAGGCAGTGTCGTCCTGCTAAATGACACAGCAGCGTGGACGGGCTCCTTGCACAGAAAGCCCACAGTGTGCGGCTGGCCACAGTGTCCTTGCAAGCCTGGGCGTGGTCCCTCCTCTCCTCATGCTCGTGCGTGCTGCCCTCACGTTTCTGTGCTCTGTACAGATGACACGAAGCAGCCTGTCTTGTTTGGAGCTGCCCACTTTGCATAGCTCTCCGCGGGCACACAGCTCTGTGGCACAGGCACCCCTTACAGCCTGGGTCCCCTCCTGTGTGGCCAAGGCCAAGGGCAGCTGCGGCCTAGCAGCGGCCCTGCTGGCTCTCCGGGTGCCCTCTGGTTCTCGTGTCAGTGGGTACTGTGATTGTGAACGTGGCTGGTAGTTCCAGTGTGGGGCCTGGAAGCCGGCCACACTGTTCACTTCGGCTCTGTCTCGCTCCTGATGAAGGCTGAGGGACTGTCACATGCGTCACAGAGACACACCAGCCAGACGGCTCTGCAAAGGCAGGGTTCTGAAACAGCAGCCCCGTCCTCTTTGCCAGATCAGAACTGTGCTGTGAGGGTGAGGCTCAGACGCAGCCTCAGTGTCCTTGCGGCCTGCAGCCTGTGGCCCCTGCCCTCTCCTTCAGGGCGGGTACGGGGAACCCTGTGAGAAGGAGCCAGTACACAGAGTGTGGCTGGGCGGGGAGGACCACACCGAGGCCCGGCCTGCCCTCAGCCTGTCTGCTCTCTCAGGACGTGCACCACGGGAACGGGACCCAGCAGGCTTTCTACAGCGACCCTGGCGTCCTCTATGTGTCCCTGCACCGCTATGACGATGGGAACTTCTTTCCAGGCAGTGGTGCACCTGATGAGGTGAGTGGGTGTGGGAACTCACGGTGGCCAAGCGGAGGGTGAGGACAGACAGCTCCAACCCACCTGCAGTGGAAGCAGCTCCAGACTCACTTAACACAAATGGTCCTTCCAGGCTAGACAGCCTCATGCTGCACCAGGGCCTATTTTAGCGGGAGGAGGGCCTGGTTCCAGGTGAGTAAGCTGAGGCATGCCATCCGAGCCTGGCCCTCCTCCTGCGGGAAGGCTGGTGCCTCTGGCTGAGACAGCGCTCTAGGCTGTCACAGGCAGGCCACCTTCGTCCCTGTCTCTCCTCTGGCCAGAGCTGAATGAGGCCCCAGGGTAGCAGGGCCCACCCTCCCTCTGAAGGCCACGCCATGTCTCACTGTTTGAGAGCAAATAGGGATGACAACAATTGCAGACGTTCTCTGTCTGCCCAGAGACAAAGTCTTAAGGGCGCGATGAGTGCACAGCCATGGAACGAAGTGACAGTCCTCAGGGGTGTCCCTGCTAGAGACTGAGGGCATGCTCTTATGGCCAGGGGACACAGATCGATCGTCCCTCAGTTTCCTCAGGTCCAGGGTCCACAAGAACCTAAGCAACCTGTGGACACACTGTCCCTGCCATCAGCAAACCAGGGCCTGTGGGTGACCACACATGGGGAGCCAGGACAGGCCTGAGCACCACCTGAGTCGGGTTTCCATCAGTGTCTGTCCTGAGCTTTCTTCTTCTGCCCGCAGGTGGGCACTGGGCCCGGTGTGGGCTTCAACGTCAACATGGCCTTCACAGGTGGCCTCGACCCCCCCATGGGAGACACAGAGTACTTGGCAGCCTTCAGGTGAGTGCCCGGTGGTCCTGACTCTGCCAGGAGACTGGAGATCCCACTCTGCAACCTGCTCTCTGCATGGACACCTTCAGTCCCCACCTGGACCCCGACAGTGTCCGCCAACCTGTTGTTCTGATTCTATTTCTTGTGCTCTTAATAACGCTCAGAAATGCACTTGGATCCTAGAAGCGGGGGAATGGCGGCAGAGACTGCTGTGCAGCCTGTGAGACCGTGCAACTTGGACATAAGTTAGTTCTTCTTGGTGTGTACACATGTGGAGGAGCAGGCTCACCGTTGCTCAACCCACTTCCCTGCAGTTTCCCTCCTCCACTAGGTCCTGCCTGCAGGGCGACTGCTCCTAAACCGAGCACTCCCTTTGATGTCGTGGGTTGTATATGAAATAACTCCTCAGCCAGGAGGGCTGGCTCGGGGCACAGATGTTCTCCTTGGGTCACTGTCATCCTTGTAAAAGGTGGCTTCTGCCCACGTGCTCAGCGAGAAGGTCCCAGCGGGCAGGTGCTGCCAGTGTGCTGGGCGCTCGAGCCCACTGGACTTCCTGGGGGTCTTCCCTCCGCCTCTCTGTCTAATGCCAAAGTCTCGTCCTGACCTGTGTGCGTGTGAAGTGTTGTGTGGAGGCGTGTCTGTGACATGTGTATGGACACATCTCTGTGTCCCTGTGGGTGGTGTTCCCGTGCCTGTGTCTCCGTGCGCTGCACACACATCTGTGGCTGTGGACACTGCCTGCGTGGCATCCATCTGTGGGCATGGGCGTGAACACGTGCACACATACAAGTGTGCACCCGTGTCTCTGTGTGGTGTGCGTGTCTCTGGCAAGTGAGACTGCACAGGGACACCTCTGTAAAGGTTTGACACAGACTCCGCCACATGCTCTTGAGACCCCAGATGAGTCACGTGTACCACTGAGCCTCTGCCTGGTAGGTGGGCTCCCCGCAGCACTCGGTCGCTTGTAGATTAAGGCACAGAGCAGGCCTGCACCCGATGCGGAACTGGTCAGTGAAGGATGGGTTGGCCCTCTGTGGACCCCACTGACGCCCCACCAACCTCCCTCCAAGCCAGGTTTGAGTTTGCTGTTTCTTCCACCCTTGGCCAGAGGTCTGTCCTTCTGACCCTGTGCTGCCTCGCTCATGTGGGCCTTATACACACACACATCTGAGATCACTGCTGGGGAGCTGCACCTGTGAAGTGTGGCGTCGTTCCTCACCCAGAACTGGTGCTCTGAGGGTAAAATGTCCAGCCCGGCAAGCTGTCAGCATGGCCTAGGTGGGCTTCCCGCCTGAAGGGTGCTGTCACTGACCCTAGTGGAGAAGTGGAACCTCCTTGGTAATGGACACCAGGCGTCCTCTCTCCTTTTGGGTCACACCTGAGGCTCTCTGGCCCCAGATAGAAGCCTGACTACAGGTGCCCAGCCCAGGCCCAGGCCCTGTACCCCAACTGTGTGGCCAGGCACCGGGGCCTGCCTGTGAGATGGACCTTCCTTCCCTGGGAGCACCCGGCCTGTGTCTCTATATCCTACCAAGTGTGCCCCTGATGGTGCCTTACTGCGCAAGCACTTTAAAGTCTCAATAGCTTCCTTGAAAAGGAAAATTGTTTTGGGTTTTTTTTTTTTTTCATTGATTTTAATGTAAAATAGCACTTTCAAGTTTACAATTTATGGTTCCCTGGGCATCAGATGGGGGAAGGAGGGTCAGAGACTGGCTTCCCGCTCTCTTCTTCCGCCTCCCGCTCTGGGGGCCCTTGGGGACAACACAAGCCTCAAAGGCAGCACCTTGTTAGGCAGACCCTCGCCTGCCAGCTTGCATTTTCAGGGGATAAAGCCTCAGATGAAGAAAAGATAAGAAAATTGCCTCTAATGAGATCCAGAAGCGGCAGCACTTTCTCCTCAGGCTCAGAGACTGAGGAGAAAAGGGGCCTTAATTCAAACCAGTTGGTCCTGCGCCAGATGCGGCTTTGAAGTTTGCCAAAGGCAGGCCAAGCCGCTGGCGCTTGGATGCATACAGTGATGTCCTTCCTTGGCCGTCCTTTCCTTCCTCGTTAGTGACCCCAGCGCAACCCTGCGGCTCCCCATCCATGATGCAGACAAAACCAAGGCCCATTCTACCGGAAAGCTCATTAGAGATGTCAGCAGAAGCTGTCATCTCTGGACAGTGGACGGTGGCCCTCAGCTGAGTGGTGGGCCAAACCTGCCACCTGCAGCCGTGGACCTCTGTCGGTCATCTTTGTGCTGTTATTGCTACTGCAGTGTTGGACTCTGGCACTTGTAGTTACCACCCCGCACTGCCTTCCGCCGGGCCACATGTCCCCAGGACGGGCACTCTGTGAATTGGGCCAGCCTCCCTGTCCGACTGCCTTCTCACCTGAAGCCTTCCAACTCTTCTCCCTTGTAGACACAAAACTGAGGGCACCGCACAGTGACTTGAGAAGCCTAAAGTACAAACAAAACACTCGGGAGCTGAGAAGCATTGTGTTTGCCAGCCTTGGCTGACCTGCTTGGTCCAGTCCTGGACGTACAAGCAAGGGGCAACGCTGCCTGCTGTGGGCTGGTGCAGTGGCCCTGCCATTCAGGGGCCTTGGCTGAGTCTTGGACAAACGAGTTGGCCCAGGGGCATGAGGGGAAACGGCATGAAAACAAAGCCCCGCTGACTTCACGGAAGCAGCAGGGCTCTAGTGAGGGTCTGGCTGTGGAGGGCAGAGGGTCTTTCTCTCGGTAGCCTGGGTGGAAGATGTGGTCCGGGTGGGCCCATGGGTGTGTCCAGGAAGAAGGGACAGAGCCTGCCCGGGGCAGCAGGGAGGGGCTGCCTGGTTTAGCAGGGACAACTGCACCGCGCTGAGAGGTGACATGGGCGGGGCCCAGCCAGGTGGCAGCTCGGGTGTGGAGGAGGGAGAGGGTGCGTGGGGACTGGGAGAGCAGTTTTTTGGGTTGGGGTGCAGAACACTCGGCTGGGGATACAGCTGCTTCAGCAGATTTCAGAAGACAGGACACATGTCCACCGAAGTGGGCGCTGGTGACTGGGCAGCATGAGCTCAGTAGGCCAGGACAGAACGTGCTGGGTGAGAGCCAGTGAGAACCCAGGGAATTGGAGGGCACGTGCTGGCAGAAACACGCAAGACGGGGAGCAGAGGGCCACCTGGGCCACTACCGGCGTGTGCCTCCTCGCTGAGAAGTGGGATCCTGTGGAGGGAAGGGGACACAGCTGGAAGCACGGGTGCCAGCGGAGGGGAAGGAGCAGAGAACAGGGCCGTCAGGGAGCACAGCCTGGGTGGCAAAGGAGGTGAGAGACCGCAGAGCAGGCCTCATGGAGGTGACCGGAGACCTAGCCGCGTGAGGCTCTGGAGGGAGCCTGTGAGGCCCCTGGTGCACCGCCTGAACTCCTGCGTGGTGGCAGGGCCAAGGGTGGTTTTCCTGGTGGCTGGGAAAGCCGGGCACGTGGGGCCACCGGTTGCCAGGGTGTGCAGTGAGGACATGGAGTGCAGGGGCTGAGTGGGCAGGGAGGGTTCTGGCTGGCCTCCAGTCCTGCTCTGCCCTGCAGCCCATTCATCCTTGCTGGCTGGGTGCTGGCAGGGTCCTGGCCAGTACACACCATTTCCACCAGCCTTCTGAGGAGACTGTTACCCCAGGGCGGGCCGTGCTCAGGAGTGATGGCTTGGGCAGCTGTCTCAGGAGGATGCACTGGACGCTCCCAGGACTTGGGCACTGGGGTACTGTGCAGCCGCATGGGCAGAGCCAGGTACACTTTAGGTGTGGGTCACAGAGAGGCACCAGCTCCCACCTTCACCCTCAAAGTGCAAGCACAGATGATGATGCATAGCAGTTTTCCAGGTATCAGAGTGCCCCCATTGTTAAAGCAGTGCCATCTGGTGCCCATGGCATCTGCTTCCTCCAAATCATGAGAGGAACAGTGCTGCCCATGATCAAGCTGGTCCTGGGATGTGGGCACACGTGCTTCTACTCAGGTCTTGGGAGCCACCTGAGAAGAGGCGCATGGATGGGTGTGCAGCGCCAACTGGGCAGCTTGGCATGGGTGGGTGCACATGGAGAGCACAGTAGCAGCCGAGACGCCAGGTGGCATGACTCCAGAGCCTGCTCCCACGAAGATGTGCTGGTGGCTAACGTGGTGGCCATAGCCCTGTCAGCTCTGCTGTCTGGCCATGCTCAGAGTCCCATACTGGCTCTGGGCTTCTCTTGGGGCCCTGAGCGGGTATGTGGAGGTCGTTCTTCTAGTGTGAGCTGATGGTTCTTAAGTCAGCCTTGAGTCTCTGAGATGATGCCCTCAGGCACCTGGGGCGTGGGTGCCCCGTGGTGGTGCCTGATGCATAGTTCTGCAGGTTGCAGTGGCCTCGCCTCCCCGTCTGGTTGCCGCCTGACTCAGCTGCCAGGCTCCAGAGCCGAGCTGACTGACCGAGGGCAGGCCCCAGGGCGAGGCCATGGAAAGGTGTGTGTCAGTGCAGTGCCACATGGGACCGCCACCACTGCAGGGGAGCCTCTCCGCCTCAGCCTCGGGCTGCACTGTCCGCCTGAGCACCCCCAGGCAGTGCCATGGAGTCCAGAGCTCTGGGGCAGGATAGCAATTTGAGTCCTCAGTGCCTTCCTGCCCACAGGGCTGCATCTGCCTACACTGTGGGTCAGCTCTCCGATGTCCACCCGATTCACCCATTCTCCTGCCTCCAGGCAGGCGGTCCACTCACATGCTGCCCTGGGAAGCTCCAAGCCTGCGCCCTGCTCTCACCCTGGGAGCGGCCTCGGGACCCTGGAGAAGGGACCTACCTTAGAAAGATGGCTTTAGAGAAGGCCCGAGGCAGGTGTCTAGGCCTTACTGTCTTCAGAGACTCAATACAGTCCTAGAGAGAAAGAGTCATCTCCCTTTCTTGGCATACCTGTCGGACAAGGACATGTGTGAAGGTGTCACATCCCCAGTGCAGCAGGCAGTGCCTTCATCCCTGTCACAGGCATGAAAGTTATGTCCCCCTTGAGGAGCAGCGACGTTCCTCACTGAGCCCCCATGAACCCGAGATGCCCCTGAGCACCCACCTCGCGTCACTCACGGTCACTCGTGGACAGCTGGAGCTCCAGCAGGTGTCAGGGATGCAGCCTGATGGTACAGAGCAGGAGGCGCCGTGTGCGCCAGGGGCACTGCAAGTCCAGCCCCCTGCTGGCCCCAGGGTGTACTGTGATTGGACTCAGGGTGATGCCACTCAGGGAGCGCAGTCATCGGGGACTATCTTGTTAGGAATGTCACTTGGTGATAGTTTACGAGGACGCCTTGGAGGGCGAGGAGTCATGTAGCCCAGCAGTACTTAAAGGCAAAGACTAAAGCCCACACCTGCGCATCGCTCCAGGTGGCCCTGAAGTGCCCTAGGAGCGGGCGGCTCCGTGTCTGCACAGCTGTCTGGTTTGTGTTGAAAGCAGGGGTTGACTTTCAGTTCCAACCCAAATCGTGGCAGACCCTGTGCTACTGTGCCCAGAAAAAGGTACCTGACAAGAACCTCACCAGGGTCATTAAACCAGCCTCCCTGGACTGAGGCGGGCAGCAGAGGAAGATCTTGGAGGGGCCTGGCCTGTACCCATGGGGGACAAGCCGCATCAGCCAAAGCACCCTCCCCAGGGATGCCCAGCATTCTCCACCAGACTGCACCAGCAGGGCCCCATCTCCAGCCACCTAGGCAGGATAGGGCCAGTCCCCTCAGGGCGCACCAGGCAGATGCTTTGTTTCAATGTTTGCACTGTGTGAAACAGCAGAGCAAGCCTGGCTCGGGGAATCAGGGCAGGGCAGAGCCATGTAGAGGGCAGGACAGGGTTGTCCCTGCAGGGCAGAGCAGAGGCTGGGGTGGGGTCACACACCGCAGCAGCATCTTCGCCAGCTTCTCTGCTTCGTGTCCCCATCTGGTCAGTGGAACTGTCACAGTGCATGGCAGCTTTGAGTAACTCAGTCCAACACCTTGTGGCTCCAGGACTGAAATCCGTCATGGAGCCTGAGGTGGGGAAGCTTGCTGACCTGGCCCAGGTCCCTTGCCTTGTGCTCTTGGACCTTCACGACGGTTCTCAGGGCCCCGGGGCATAGAGCTCCGTCCATCCAGGTTCATTCTGCAGCCTGCGGCAGGGCCCATCCTCAGCAGGAGCGTGGGGAGCTGCAGATGGCTGCAGGGCCCTAGTCAGCCGCCCCATGCCCAGGGTGAGTGTGGTATTCTCACACAGGCTTCTCAGTGCAGGCTGGAGCCGGGCCGTCACACGCCTGCCATACAGCAGGCCACACCCTTCTCACCCTGCCAGGCTCTCCTGAGTTTGCGGCACTGGGCAGCACATGTTCTGGTGATGGTTGGGTACTCGGGCAGGACTGGTCACCCTGGTCTGAGGACAGTGCAGAATCTGCTGCCTGTGTGTAGTTCTCTGGGGCTTTGTCTCTGCCACCCCGGGAGCCTGAGTTACTGTGTGATAGGGTTGCAGTACAGAATGGTTTAGGAATGGGTTCTGAGTACTGCATTTCTTACAGCCAGAATTGGGTAATTTCACTGAGTAGCAGAAGCTGCTTGAGAAACAAGGATTCAGGGTTTGGGAAGCTCTGTGGGTGGTGAGGGAGGGACCCCTCCAGGCTGGGCCCCCAGCTGCTTCCTTGCAGGCCTCCCGCTCACAGGAAGGGAGTAGTGACCCAACGCATGTGCCGGGAGGCGACAGCGCAGGCAGGCAGCGGTGCGTGTGCACCTCCCCCGAGAGCTCAGCATGCCTGCCTGCAGGTCACATGCCCAGGCTTCCTGGGGAGTGAAGGCTCAGGCCACCTCCTTAGCTGGCTTCGGGGGCATCAGCCTACCTCCTTGTCGGGGTCACTGCGACCCCAGGAGAGGGGTCATGACTCTACCCCCCTGGCCCTGGGGGAGACTGAGAGTCAGCACTGATCATTGAGTCAGGTAACGAAACTGCTGAGTGCCCACAGAGCCGCTGCCATGCTGACTTTCAGAGCAGCACGCTGCACGGCACTGCCACCTGGTTACTCCACGAGAGGCTCGGGTGCTCCCGCTTCTCAAGTAAAGTATCTTCTTCATCCCCACTAGATGTAAACCACGGAGCTTCTCTGTGGCGTGGATGTGTCCGCGTTCTCTGAAGTGTGCCCTTACTTCGCCCTCTGATTACTGGGCCTCTGGTGTAATGGGTGCCCACGTGGGTTCCCTCCCTACCAGGCTGGGACAGCCTGCCACTTCCCACCTCGCGGCTCCCTGTTCCCTGTGCCCTGCACTGCGCCGGTGACTGCACAAGCCTGGAGAGTGCACTGTGCTGGCCTGGGGCTGGGCACCCTGCCTCTGCAGGAATGACCACTTGGGGACCAGGCCTGGGGGTGGGCGCCCCCTCTACCGTGGGAGCACAGTCTACGCCTCCCCTCAGTGACAGATCACCTCCGAGACACACAGAGAGCCTCCTGCCCCGTGCCACAGGCGTTCACACTGGGGCTGTGGGCGTGGGCTTTGGAGGGTGCCGTGACGTGCTCCCCATCATACGGGATACTCCCTTGAGCCAAGTGTGAGCCCTCAGACTCCAGCCCGCTGGCCACAGGGCCCAGGCGTGGGTGTGCCCTCATACCGCCTGTGTCTGGTGACCGTCTGGTCCCCTCTGCCCCTCCTCTGCTGACCTGGTAACTCCTTCTCCTGCCCTGGCAGAACCGTGGTTATGCCAATCGCCAACGAGTTTGCCCCAGATGTGGTGCTGGTGTCATCAGGCTTCGATGCTGTGGAGGGCCACCCCACACCTCTCGGCGGGTACAACCTCTCTGCCAAATGTAAGTGGGCCCAAGTGGTCACCTTCACACACCCACTCTGCTCAGTTTGTGACCAGTGTGCTCTGCATGTCAAGTGACAGAAGGAACTTGCCTTACACCCAGTGCCGATGGGGCCAGCAGCCAGTCCCTTAGCCCTAGGCCCCCAGGGAGACAGAGCCACCCATCTACCCAGGTCACAAGGCTTCATGGCCAGCGAAGTGACCAGGCCGAGGGCGCACACTCCTGCCATGCTTGGCACTACACAGCTCCTGCCCAGAGTGCCTGCTGCCACACTCTGATCTGCTTGGTCAGGGCTGGCAGGAGCTTGGTGCCAGCACCCATGCCCCATCACGTGGGTGAACTGGGCACCTCAGTCAGTCCCTTGTACCCACAGCTGCCAGGACACGCAGCCTGGCGAAGCAGGGTGGGTCTGCTGCCCAGGCCAGGGCCAGTGGTACTGCGGGGCTTTCCCTGCTTTCAGCCAGCACCGGCCTCCCGGTGACCATCACTGCCAGAGGCCATCTGCGGGGTGGGCACTAGGCACAGTAGAGGCACTGTGGCGTTCAGCTGAAATAGATGCGCAGATGTGGAAATGGAGTCCCCACGTGGGCAGCCCACCGTTGTTGCGTGTGTGTGTGTGCGCGCGCGCGCATGTATTCACAGAGCATGTCAGGTGCCTAGAACAGCAGGGCACTCTGGGTGCTGAAGAAGGCAGGGCCCCTAGGTGGGGTGCTGACGTGGCCTCCAAAGAGAGCACTAGAAACTTACCTCATGCTCCCACAGACAGGAACCCAGATGGAGCTCTTCCGTGACATAGGAGGCCTCTGCTGCCCCTGCCGAGTGTGCCAGTGCCCCAACCCTGGTCCTCGTGGGAAGCACTGTGCCACGCTGCTGCCCACCGCCGCTCCATGCGCATGGCCCTTTCCTGTTGCAGGTTTCGGGTACCTGACGAAGCAACTGATGGGCCTGGCTGGCGGCCGGATCGTGCTGGCCCTCGAGGGAGGCCATGACCTAACAGCTATCTGTGATGCCTCCGAAGCCTGTGTTTCTGCTCTGCTGGGAAACGAGGTACAGAGCCCCCTAAAGTTCTGCACCAGCACACACAAGCCAGGCTGTCAGGACCTGACCCACGGGGCCTTCTCGTTTGCTTTTAGCTCTGCATTGCATGCTCTTTCCCACCCTGCTTGGTCAGGCTGTTTAAGTGGCAGATGTCTTCGGTGGTGGCCAGAAGGTGGGGACGAGGCCGGCAGGAAGCGTGCCCTGAACAGAAGAGTGAAGGCTCTCATTGCACATGCTCACTGTGATTCATTTGCCTGTCATGAGGGGGCTGCCACCTCCAAGATACGATGGCAAATGCTTTTTCTCGCTCTACCACTGTTCCCCATGGGCACTATTCTCTGGGAAATTCTCAGTGCGTTTGGGTGGCTCAAGGCTGGGCCAGGGCCTCTCTGCCCGGAAGCATGGTCTATGCCCAGGGGAGGGTCCCAGGCCTGGGCTCTGCTGGGCTTCTGCAAACCTGTGCCCTGCACAGCAGCCTCTGAGGCCCAGGTCACAGGAGAGAGGAGCAAGCCCCACAAAGCTTTTGCTCCCAGGGACAAGGGTGGCACCCTCCTTGCCATCCAGGTGGGGCTCAGTGCATGTCCCTGCAGAGGAGGAGACGCCCCAAGCAGGGGCCATGCGTCATCAAGGGAGCAGAAGTGCATGGCCCCGTAGGAGCAGTGAGGGGGAGGAGAGGGTGTGTGCGTGCGTGGCCCCCAGGATGCCTCAGCCTGAGGAGGTCTGAGGGCCACACCAGGGGGACAGGGCACAGGACTGTGAGCGGGTACCCACACCAGAGTCGAAGGAAGCCACTGACAAGGCCCTGCCTGGGACGCGGGAGAGGGGGCCGGCTGGTAGGTGGGGGTGGGCATGGGCCCTGAGGACACAGGGAGGTCCTGGGTGAGTCCAGACACAAGCTGTGAAGAGGGCTGAGTGCAGGCAGCACACAGGGTGCTATCCAGCAGGCCGGAAGTAAGCCTGTTACTCAGATAACCCCTTCTCAAGGCCCAGACCACTCATGAGCCCAGGCCAGTCACGGCTGTCCCTCCTGGCGGTGTCTCGGGAGGTGGACAGAGCCCTGGCGCAGGCACCGGAGAGCGGGGCATCAACCATGCAGAAGTTTGCACGCAGGGCTCTTTCCAGGCTGCCTCCTAGCAGCAGGGCCCCTCTTCTCTGCGTGAGCCACGCGTGCAGACACTGGGACAACAGGATGAGCACAGACCGCAGTGTGGCCGGGATAGCAGGCTGCTGCCTCAGGTCAAGGGAAGGGTTTTCTGTGTGTCCACTGTGCAAGAGGCCCAGCGAGGAGAGCATGAGGGCACTCCACTCTCCGGGCTGCATGCTGGGCTATTCCCAGGAGGACCTGCCAAGTGATGGGAGACATCTGGGGCACAGTCAGGAGCCCCTGTGTGTCGGTGGAGCAGTGTACATGACTGGCTGGCGCTTGAAGACAGGTCTGGGCTGCACAGACCAAGGGCGACAGTCACTGGTGGGCCCACTCAAGACCTCCCGGGGCAGACCACACCCTCCGTGGGCCTCTGGGCATCTTTAACCAGGCCCTGGCCAGTGGTGCTGCAGGGGCTGAGCAGGGCAGAATGCCAGCCAGCTCTGCCCTCCAATGGTCTTGCCTTGTGGTGGGCAGTGAGCGTGCATCCTGCTGTAAATCGTGGCAGATGGCAGAGCAGACATCGCGTGCTAGGGAGCTGGCCAGTGATGCCCTGGCTGAGGTCCCGGTCTGCCTTCTAAGATGTCGGGAGTGTTTACCTGTCCACTCCACATGACGCCGTCGTCCACGTGTGCAGTTCAAAGGCAGCGGATGCACTCAAGCAGCCGTGCGCAGCTTTACGACCCTACCTCTAGGTACTTTAAAGCAACAGCAGAGAGCTTGGCTTTCACCTGGGCCTGTTCTTGCTTCTTCATGCATTTGCTCTGCTAGTAGGAAACTGTTCTTTTACTGAAACACATCAAAAAGCAGGAAGCACTAGTTTTATCAAGAGCTCTTTAAAAATCTCTTTAATGAACCAGAGTTGGACGAGCCTGTCCCTCTGCCCCCACAGCCTTTGATGAGAGTTGATAGAGGGCGTGTTGGCCAGTTCTGCACGCATCCCAGCAGCCAGATGCAGATACAGCAGCCTGCAGGGCCTCCATGCTGGGCAGACAGCGGCGTCATTGCTCACATCCCCAGCACAGCCCTGTGCCCCACCTCCTGGGTGTTCCGCCCTCACCGAGCGCGTCTCTGAGGTCAGCCCAGCTCCCAGCAGCCGCTCGTTGAGTAACTCCAGGGTCCAGTTCTCTGCAGCTGTCACTGGTGGCCAGCTGTGAAAAGTCCCCCTGAAGTGGGACAGCAGGTTAGACCAACCTGGAGCTCGGGGCTTTGTAGTTCTAAGCATTCCTGACTTCTGTTTCTGTTGCAGTTTCTTCCTTGAGCTGTGAGCTGGTGTCTTTTCTTAATTTCCAAACATGAGGGCCTGTCCTGTCTTTGCTCCTCGTTTTCTGACCCATCTTCTGGGCCCCCTTCCGCCCTTCTGTATCTTGTAGAGCCCCCTGGGACAGTGTCCTGCAGTCAGCGTCCCAGTTTGGTTCACGGTTGTTCTTAGCGACAGCTCTGTTGGGCACGTACCTCTAGGTTAAGAGCCTTTGCCCTTGACACCCTTTGACACTGCCAAGCGCTGTCTGCTTCCCTCGCTGTTGAGAACAGGTGTGCAGCTCACTGCCACCCAGTGCGGGTCACCATCTGGCTCTCCAGATACGTCGCCAGTACCCACAATGCCCTTCTTCCGCCATAGGGTCCTCCCCACACATGGTCCTCTGTGTCCTTCGTCTCCTCTGTTGGTGGCTGGTTCTCAGTTTTCTCTTGTTTCTCATGACGCTGATGACGACGCAGAGCACTGGCAGGTGGGGCACAGCCGTCCCACCTGAATTTTGGTGAATTTTTCTCATAGCGATGGGTGTGGTACAGGCCCTGGCTGTCCCTTGCACTACAAAGTGGGCTGTCCCAGACCGGAGGGGGGTTGGCGGTAAGCGGCCCCTCCTAGAGAGGTCACAGCTCCTCTAAGGAACATTTGTCTCTTCACCCTCATTTGTTTATTCCGTTATTTCTCTATATCTCCCAGAACTCTTGGGTCCTTACCTAGTACCTTGGGTTCCAATCCTGGACTGTGTTATTTCCTTGCTCATCATGTTCAGCGTGGGCCCGTATGACCTGCGGGTCCCCACGGCTCATTGACTTTGAGCACATCCTGATGGGACTCCAGGCTCCTCTTGTTTTGCCTTGCCTGCCCCGGCCAAACTGTTGCTCACAGAGCTCTGTTCTCTGCCCAAGAACCATGTGGGTCACCTTGGTGGGTTCACCCGACCCAGACCCACCAAGCCCACTGCACTGTGACTTTGACGGGCACATGCTTCCTGGGGGGAGGCAGAACTGCCCACATGAAGGCCAGATGGGCCTAGTCCCTTGGGCTCTGGCATATGGACCCGGGTACCACAGCCACAGCTGTGCCTTTGCGGGGTCAGGCCCAGCAGACCCACAGGGGCTGTGCTGACTGCCACTAAGAGCCGAGGCTGAGGCCAGAGCTTCTGACCGCTGTCACCTGCCCCCATCATGACAGCGCGGCCACTGCCCACGCTCATCCCGTTCTTCCCCTCCCCCCAGGCACCCATGAGTATGCTTCTCTGCATCTCAGGAAAACACGCCTGTGGCGTAAAAGCCAACTCTTGTTAGGAGCACGTGTACAGATCGCGGAGCCCCACTGGCCTCCTGGCAGTGCTTTCTCTTACCATGCCCAGCTGCCCTCCCCAAGCCTCCCCTTGTGGCACGCACAGTTATCTCATCCTCCTCATGCTCAGCATGTACTTGTCTGTTCTTTCCAGCTCGAGCCTCTGCCAGAAAAGGTCTTACAGCAGAGGCCCAACGCCAACGCTGTCCGCTCCATGGAGAAGGTCATGGAGATCCACAGTAAGTCACCGCCAGGTGCCCATGGGCACCTCTCAGACCTCACTATCCACAGGCATCTGAGCTGGTAGAGACTCGTTTCACCCCCAGGGTTTTCCCAGAGCCTACTACAACAAGGTCCTCATCCCCATCCACAGAGCACAGGCCTGGGGCTCCGTGTGAAGTTGCTCATAGGTCCCAGCTGGCAAGCAGGACCCTGCGCTCTGAGCCTGAACACTGGGGTCTGGTCTCTTCCAAGACCTTGGGCCTGCAGGGAAACTCATCTTCTAACACTGCTGCAGGCAGTGGGTCCCAGGACTCCAGGGCAGGGCACATGGCAGTCAGGTGACTCATGCTAGCACACTGTCTTCAGGCCACCTGCGACATCCCATCCTCGCACAGAGCCCAGTGTGTCAGCCCTGGCGGGGCCCAGCAGGGTGAGGCCACCCTCATAGGCAGTGTACTCCCAGGGTGTGCTCCTGGCTTCCGGGCCCTGAAGCTGACCCTGCGCAGGGCCCAGCCTCCAGCACACCCCCAGCTCTCGGGCCTGATGCAGATACCCCAGCACCTGCCAGGGCTCAGGTAGGAGACCCTCAGTGCTGCACACCAGCAAGCTGGCGCCTGCCTGCTCACAGAGGCCTAAGGGGCAGCGCCTGCCGGGCCTGCAGTGCATGCTCCTGGTCAGCATAGGGAGGCAGAGCCTGTGGGCAAGGACGCCAGGCCCCTCGGAAGCCCCCCTGGCAGGCCTGGTGGTCCCAAGGCAAGGAGGCACCTCAGGCGTTCCCGGTGCTGTGGTTCATAACCCAGCAGCTCCCTTGCCAGAGAGGCTCCTCTAACATCACAACCAGTGGCCTCCCTGGAGCTGTGGGGCCCCAGGAGTCACTGTGGTCACCAGGCCCTGCCCCTTCCAGGTCAGTACTGGCGCTGCCTACAGCGCGTGTCCTCCACGGCTGGGCACTCTCTGATTGAGGCACAGAAGTGCGAGAATGAGGAGGCTGAGACGGTGACTGCCATGGCCTCGCTGTCCGTGGGCGTGAAGCCCACCGAGAAGAGGTGAGTGTCCCCCGTCCTGCAGGCTGCTGGGCACCGGCTGGGGGCAGGGCAGACAGGGCCACACTGGCCCTCTCCAGTGCACAGGTCTGGAGACACTCGTGAGAGTCCCAGGCCAGTGGGAGGAACCCGCAATCTGTGGGAAGGGGCAGCACATGGGGCCAGGTGTGGGCGCTGCCGCCCACCACACTCAGCGCCCCACCCTTTTCTCCCACACAGGCCAGACGAGGAGCCCATGGAGGAGGAGCCACCCCTGTAGCGCCCTCTTGAAGCTGCTGTCTCCTTTGTTTGTCTGTCTTGAAGCTCAGCCAGGAAACTTTCCCGTGTCACTCGTGCGTCCTGCACGGGCTCTCTGAGCACAGGGACGCCAGGCATGCAGCGGCAGTGGGAGGCCTTTCCGCCGCCTGGACCACAGGTCTCCAGAGGCGCACGCACGGGCGTGGCAGCTTCTCGCGGACACGGGACAGGACGGCGCGCACTGCGCGGATGCGCAGACACGCGGAAGCCAAGCACATTTGGGCAGCCCCCGGCGCAGCCGCAGAGGAAGGAGCTGTGGCAGCGGGGGGTAAAGTTGCCGGATTTAGTTGACACAAGGAAAGGAAAATGAAAATCAAAGATCTAATAATACAAAACAAACTTGATTAAAACTGGTGCTTAAAGTTTGATTCTTACCCACAGTTCTACAGTCTCCGTGTAAACCACTCAGCTCATCTTGTAGCTTATTTTTTTTTAAACAGAAAGTTTTCTATGGCTCTGGCCTGCCCTGGGAGCCTTTGAGGCATCCCATGGGGTTTGCAGCCAGGTGGGGACAGAGTTGGAGGAGCCTTTAAAGGAAAAAACTGGACAAAGCAGAATGTGAGCCTGGAAGTCAGCTTGAGCTTCTCAAAGCCATCGGAAGATACGAGTTTGTGCCTTTTTTTTACTGCTCTGATGGATTTTTGTGGCTGGGTTTTCTGAAGTCTGAGGAACAATGCCTTAAGAAAAACTCAACAGCAGGAATTGGGGGACCGTTTGCTATGGTCGGGGGAGCCCATGGTGCTGGCCTGGCGCTCAGCGGGCAGCGCCGCCTCTGCCTGGAGCGCGGCCATCCACGGGCCTTGTGTGGCTTTATTGCTGTTAAGGAAAGTGGAGGTGTTCCAGAAAAGCGGCAAGCACTGTTGGGGGTTTTGAAGTCCAACAACTTTTAAATGAATCCAAAGTGTTCTTTTCTCACCCATCACGTAGCAGTGAGCATCTCCATTTGGTCGTGAAGCATGTCGTAGACACACACCTGCAGTGTTGCGGTCGGAATGCTTTCATCAGGAGCAAGTAGCATGAAGTATTGCTTAACTTTAGGTATAAATAAATATATATATATGTATAATATATATTCCAATGTATTCCAAGCTAAGAAACTTGATTCTTATGAGATCTTGGTAAATATTTATATGCATTTATAGAAAATATATATATATATAAAATAAATGCAGATTGTGAAGGTCCTGGCAAGTGGAGGGCTTGGCACGAGCTCCTCGGTGCTTAGGGAGAGCAATCCGGGCGCAGCCCTGCAGTTCTGAGCTCCGACGGGCAGCTTTCTGATTGCTACCCGTTCGCCCCTGGGCAGCTTCCCTACCTGTTTGTACTTTAATTTTAATTATTTTCTAACAGAGGCCCCACCCTGTCCAAGCCTCCGTGCACATAGGTACCTAATGAGTTTTTATAGCAAAGGATATAAATTTGCTGTTGATTTTTGTATGAATTTTTCACAAGAAGATCCTAAATAAGCATTGTTTTGTGAATTTTACATTTTTTTCCTCACCATTTAGCAGTTTTCTGAATGGTAAGAACGTCTGAACCTTTTTCTTTTCTAAATTCTTGATTGAACATTTTTTTAACTTGGATGGGTTTTTTATGATTTGTTTGTGTTATTCTGTAAAGTGTGCAGGCCCCTGCCGTGCTCAGGCCTGCCACCATCAGAAATGATTTTGTGAACGTAAACGTCCAGTGAGGTCAGGAGCTGGGCCTTCCCGGTGATGCCAGCCAGCCTGTCTTCCTGGCTGTGTCCCAGGAGCTGTGCAGAGGAGCCAGGGGCTCTTCCTCCCTGCCGCACGTGAGTGTCGGGGATGGAGTGTTTTCCTCTCCCTGGCCGGGCCTGTGGCTGCAGTGGACCACAGTGTCAGCATTAATGAACCCATGTGTAGACTTCTTGGACCACTCCAGAGGGGTGGAGTCCTCGCTCCAGTTTCCCAAAGACCTTTTATGCATGTCAGCAACGCATGGCCCCGCTGGCCCTGCCCCCACCTGGGGGATTTCTGCTGCAGCCGTGCAGCTGGGGCTCTGCTGGACGCCAGGAAGCCAGGGCCTCGATGCCCGCCGAGCCCGAGCCCAAGTCCTCGGAGTGTGTACTTCCAGAGGGAGCGCGGGCTTGTCTTTGCTCTTTTTCTCTTTGCAGTAACTGACAGCCACTTTTACTGGTAACTTATTTTCTAGCACTTGAAGCCACCAATTTCATTCCAAAGTGTGTCATAGTTTAGACTTGAGGGAGGAGGTGCAGATGCTCAGGAGGGACCCCAAGCCAGGTTTCTGATTTTGGTGAAGTTTACAGGGTAGGCGTAACTAGCCAGACTTGTGCCCGGATGAGTGCGTCCTGGCCTCCCCGTCACTGCCGCCCCTGGGCAGTGCTGAGACGGTGGGTGGTGAGCAGGGCAGAGCAGGCTTGGGCACGTTTGATTCTCCCCTCCCTGCTGGCTGCTCTCAGCGCCAAAGCCCAGTTGGCAGGAGACACTGCAATGGAGGGGCCACCTAGGCGCCTTCCCGCCGGTGGCACTCGCTGGTGGTGATGGGGCGGTACCAGCTCCTCCAGCCTCCACGCTCCTGCCCTGCGCCCCCACGGTGCCTGGGCGGCCGCGTCATTTCACTGTGCTTTCCTGTGGGGGAAACGTGGGCCGCCGGGTGGCCAGGCTGTCACCGTCCACGCCCCCAGCCTTGCTCGGCAGGGCCTGGCGGCACGGGCACCCCTCACCAACACGCCCGCTCAGCGTGCTGCAGCCTCTACCATGTAGCCTTCTCTTCCCTTTGAAGACGCAGTTGGCTGCGTCCACAGCCAGCGTCAGGGCAGGTGGCAGGAGGGGCCGCAGCCCCGCAGGCAGGACACAGCAGGGAGGGCTCTCCACGTGCCTCCCCACCTGGGCGTGGGCCTGGGCCTGGGCCTGGGCCTTGGCCTGTTCCTTCCTCTGCAGAGGACTGGGGGGCATGGCCAGGAGTCGGAGCGAGCACTTTAAGCCCTTTAGTAAAGGGAAGCCCCGGCCAGTGACCCACGCGGCTTCCCTGCGGCTTCCCGCTGCACACATCGTGCCCACACCCCACCAGCAGGCGGTGCCCACCGCCGGGACTGGCCACCACCCGGCCGGGCTCCGGCTCCAGGCCGCTTTGTCGAAGTGTTTCAGTTTTTCTTTCCTTTCAAACCGTTTCCAAGAGGAAGGGCCGTCGAGTCTGGTTGTTGCGGCACTAGCCATGGACCTTGTGTTTCTCTCCATCGGAGCATTCCTCCCTCTCGGCCACAGCCTCGTGCTCATTCCTTGTTTTGTAGACTTTGGGCCCACGTGTTTCATGGGCATTGATACATATATAAATAGAGAGATATAAACATATGAATATATTTTTTTAAGTTTCCTACACCTGGAGGTTGCATGGCCCGTATGCCCGGCATGTCTTTATATTGGATACGGATTTTGCACGCCAAACTTGGCAGCTTTTGGGGAAGAAAAATGCCTTTCGTTCCCCTCTCGTGACATTTACAGATACAAAAAAGATGGAAATTTTTCTGTAAAACAAAACCTTGAAGGAGAGGAGGGGTGGGAGTTTTGAGTCTTACTGAACTTATTCTTAAGAATTGTACTTTTTATTGTAAGAAAAAATAAAAAGGACTACTTACACATTTGTCATATTAAGGAAAAAGTTTACCTAGCACTTGTGACACACCAATAATAGAGTTTGTTGTATTTATGTGGAGCAGTGTTGCGGGGAGATGCGGGCGCGCACTGTGGCCGCGGCCCCTTGCATTGATTTGGAGGGTTTGGTTTTGTTTGGTTTGTTTCCTTTTTTCCTGCCACAGGCTGCTCGCCCTCGCAGGCCCTGTGACCGTTTGTTCCGACTGAGAAGCGGGGCTCTCCAGCGTCCCCTTCCTGGCGGCGCCGGGCTGCCGCCTGGCCCCCAGCCACAGCTGCCACGGGCCCAGAGCCGGTGGCCCGGCGTGGCCTCGGGCGTCCATGAAGCCGCCTGTGGGAAGGACAGAGCGAGCGTTTCTTGTTTCCTGGTGTGTGTGCTCCACGGCGGAGGCGCCCTGTTCCGGTTTTGAGCAGACAAGCATGTGTGGTCTCTGCACATGCTCTTGGGGCTCGACCCTCACTCACCAACCTCGCACCGTGGGGCCGGAGCCGCTGCCTGGGCTCCTGCGGTTTCAGCTGTTCTCTCTGCTGTCTGGACCTTCTCCGTGGTTCTTTCTTTTGCTCAGTGGAGATGGAGGTCTTGTTTCAGTGTTTTCATTCTTGTTTGTTGTGTGTGGGTGAAACTTCGCTGGCCGGCGGTGTCCTCCGACAGTCAGCCCCTCTTTCCACCTCCCGGAGTCCAGTGTCTGTACCGCGTTGCACACTGTCACTCTTGTGGTGTAAATAAAGACTGCATTCATTGCCTCCGCCTCTGCTCTCGGCCTCACGCTCTTTTCACTTGCGCTCGTGTGCCAGAGCCTCCAGGGTTGACCGCCGTACCCTGGAGCTCGGGAGCCAACCCCAGTGCCAGGGGACGCCCTGGCCCCTTGGGGACTGACCACTGTCCCTCGGGAGTCCCTGGGCCCCTCAGGAACTGAGTACTGCACTCTGCTAAGTCAGTAGACCCCTTGTGAACTGATCGCCACATGTGGGGAGCCCCTAGGACCCAGGCCTGGTAGAGAGCCCGCCACCCGCTGCAGGCAGTAGGGCTGTGGTGTCTTCATACTGACCTGAACCATTGCACTCTTCTGTCCCAGAATGCCTTTGAGCCATGGTGGGCTGGGCTGGAACTGACTTCAGAGAATAACAAGGTCAGGGCACGGCCAGTGCCTCCAGGCACCTGGTCTGAGAGGGGAGTCTGCCCACACCGGTGGTAGCCCCTGGTTGCCAGGGGACTCCTCGCAGCCTGGTGAGCGCATAGCCCTTTCTGGGCCCTGCACCCCACGATGGGTTAGTTGTGGGGTGAGGGGCTTCTAACTACCAGGGCACCTAAGGCACAGCCTGCCACTTCCTGGCCTGGCTCCTCCTCCTGTGGGACTGCTTCCTGCCCTCCTGTCAGCGTGCCATCCTGAGGGCACTTCAGCCAGCCCCACATTCCACCCTGTCTGCCCAAACTCCCATGCATAGTCGCCTCAGCCCAGAACCTGCCGGCGGGGGCAGAGCCTGATAGGACAGCCCACAGCCCGTGACAGGAAGAGCAGCTCAGAGCTTGGGGTCACTGAGTCAGGGTGGAGTGTTACACAGCACTGCTGCAGCACTGGCTGACTCCTACAGGGACACCAGGAGCTCTGCTGAAGCTGGGTGTACATGAGACCACAGGGATCGACCGACCCAGCACATGAGTGCTTATTCTCATGGCTCTCCCATCTCTAAAGTGGACAGGGAACAAGCGAAGCCGGGGAGTCTGGAGCTCGAGGAGACAGGGACAGGTGGCCTTTGCGCCTCACCTCCACGCAGGATTGCACACGCTCTGGCTTGTGTTCTCTAGAACGTGCTTTTCAAGGATTGCTACGAAGCATTAGCCCCCTTACCTTTTGAAAGCATGACTGCTTCTGCCACGTCGAGGCAAGGAGCACCAGACGCGTGCGCGCCGTGTCCCTGGCAGGGACACCTTCCCGCTCCCACCCACAAAGCGAGACCAGACCGCACCACCTGGCCCAGCCCAGAGCAGACTGCCGAGCACCAGCGCGAGGCTTCTGGGCCATGGTTTGTGCGTTTCACATAGCTGTGTCTTTAACAGCACATCTCAGTGTGTGCTGCGTATTTACAGGAAGGGGCCTTTTCAGTCCACTGCAACTGGCTCGACTGTACCAGTGGTGGTACCGGGTGGTATCCGGGACAGTCCCCACGGCTGCTGGCCTGTCCTCTTGGGGTAGCTTGTGAGCTGCTGATTTCTCCCCACCACAAACCCCAAGGGCAAGCACCCTGGTTCCTCTTGGGCTGTGCATGGTGAGGGCCCTGGCCCTGCAGGACAGGGTGCAGCCCGCATGCACACAGCAGGGGCTCCACCCCGAGGGGAGTGAGTGCTTTTGCTGAGGACTGGTCTAGTGCACAGACACTCCGTTTAACAACCGAGTCTCGTTCCCGCGACTAGGCCGTCACGTGAGTTGGTGGCCACGTGAGGAGTTGTCGAATGTACACATTACAGGACTCAGAACAAAGAAACGGTCAAAGGAAACTGCAGCCGGATGACTTTGATTTTATTTGCATAACTCTTACAAGCAGTGCTGTAACAACATAAAACTGCAGTGATGTACTGTACAGCACAGTCAGCAGCGGTTGCATACTGTATAGCCAAGGGCTGTACAAAAAGACATTGTGGCTGTAGAAACAAGATGTTCAGAACTGCACAAAAGTTTTAAAAAGGGGCATAAGTCCTAACATCATTAAGCAGGTAGGTCGTAAACAAGGACATCTGCGTTCCTTGCCCACCGCTGGGTGACTGAGGGCCCCAAACTTGGCCAGTTCACCCAACAGACATTCTCCAGCCTGTTGTCTGTGGTCTTGTTGGGGTGCGGCGAAACAGCCCTGGCCCTGGTCTCCGAGGCCCTGGCCTCCCCAAGGAAGCAGCGGCTGTGGCGGGGCGGCTGGGTACACTGGAGCCCCCTACACGCACACGCACACACACACCAGGGCTCTTGGCAGCCCCTGTCCTTCCACAGAGCCCCCTCAACCTGCTGCCGTGCCCCACAGGAGAGAGCATCCCTCATCAGAAGCTGCAGTCCACTTCCAAGAGGAGGTGGGCTCCCTGGGGGTCCTCTAGGGGCTGCAGCTACAACTGGGGAACCCGCCACCTCCTCCACGGTGTCTCCTGTGACTGGCAGCTTTGCCTTCCCAGCGTGTCCGCAAGCTAGCACCTGCTTGCCCAGCCTGGTCCCGCTGCTCTCTGAACACAGGAGCCAGAGTGCCCACCGTTACCCGTGGGGTCCCTGACAGCCTCAGGGCCGCACACCTGCTGCCCCCTGGCCTGTCACACAGCCTGGAACTGACCCTCTGAAGCCCTTTCGTCGGTTGAGCCCAGAGATGAGCACTAGTTTCCTCGGTGGATGGGAAGATGTCGAGTGAATGACTGTCACACCTCCTCAGCCCTCAGCCCTGCTGGTTTGTTGACCAGGTGTGCAGAGGGCTTTAAATGCATGCGGGACCCTGGTGCTCTGTCCGCTTCACCTCTCACGCATCTTCTGTCTCCGGAGTCTTCGCTATCTTACTTTGAAGGAAAAGTAAGGCACAGTGCAGCCACCGAGCCCTGCCAGGCCCTTACGGCTCATCGCAAAGGAAAGGAGAAGCGGTTGACACAGCGTATATGCTAAATCTCCCCTCTGTCTGTGTCTCCTTGTAAGACTGCGCTCAGACACAGAAGCGTCTGGGAAGGAGGACCATGCACCTGGGAGACGGATGGGGAGCCGCCTTGCTTGGAACATCCGTCTGGGAAAAGGTGTCTGTGACCCTGCAGCCTGAGCTGTGTGGCTGTGGAGGGTGGCCCTGCCCAGCCACGTGGCAGGGAGTGCAAGGGGACGTGGATTTGTCTCCGAATGACCCAAACAGCCCAGCTGATTCCCAGATTGGGATGAGCTGAGGGCCCTCCTCCCACTGCTCCTCTACCCTTTCCTACCTGCCCCTCTTACTGCCTGGCCAGCCGAGCAGCAGGTCCGCAGGAGGGCTGGATGGTGCCAGCAAAGAACCAGAAGCGTGAGCCAGCACAGAACCAGCCCAGCCGCACAGAGGAAGGTTCTGAGCGGGATGACCTCGGAACAGACACAAGGCCATCAGACGTCTGTACAAGGAGCGGGTGGGCGCCTGCAGAGGTCCTGAGCCAGGTGCTGAAACCACAGCAACCAGACAGCGCAGCAGGGACAGGGCCAGGCCCATCCCAGGCAGATGCACAGAGAAGGCCACAGAAACGTGAAGCAGGAGCAGCAGGTGAGTGGTGCTGGAGTTACCTGGTGTGCCGCTTGGAGAAAGCCAGCTTGATGCTTCGCATGGTGCATCAAAATAAATTCCAGGTGCATCCAGTGTGTGACCCACAGAGCCAGCTGCAGGCGTGCAAGCATCTCTCCGGCAATGACAGGACCAAAGACATTCCACAGAAGTGACGTGGCATACGGAGGGAGGTGCTGGGGAAGGCAGACGCTGACATTGGGGTTGGCCCCCCAAACTGTCCAGGGAGCGCAAGGGAGCAGACAGGCTGGACATGGGGGAGATGGGACTGGCCAGGAGGCGGTGACTCCACAGTGGGTGGGTGACGCATACGGGGCATCGCGGTACTGCTCTAGCTCCTTCCCTGACTCCTGGAATTTCCTGTGTGCAAAGGAAGCAACAGAAAGAAATAAGGGGTCATGAAGAAAGAGCACAAGATGACAATAAAAATGTCAGTGTTCCAGGGGAGGCAATCGCCTCGATCTAAATAAAGGGAGCTCATCAGACACAGTGGGAAGCAACCCAGCCCACACAACACTCACACAGATTAAAACAAAATCACAGGCAGCCCCAGAGGAGGAGATACAGTTGTGTAATAACCACTCAGAAGCCGACAGCCCTCGCGCGTGTGTGAGCATTGGCGTTAAAACTTGCAAATAAGCAGGGAAGGACGTTCTGGAACCGGAACTGATGACAGCTGCTGACGCCGTGGTGCACAGCCTGCTGCCCCTGGGACAGCCCCGAGGGACACTCCTGGGCACGTGTCCCAAGGGCGTAAAGCTAAGCACAGAAACAACCTATGCACAGAGTCTCATTTCAGCATTAGTTAATGAAAAGTGGAAGCACCTGGAAATATTTACTAGCCCAGCCGCCGGCCCGAGCTCCAGCACTCCTGAGAGCGCAGCACAGGTTGGGAGGGTGACCGTGGCCACCACTGTCTGGGAGCCTCCGAGTTCCCTCTACTCACTTTGCCCATGCGGGGACCAGCAGCCGACCCCGCGGAAAAGTCACACGGGGGTAAAGGGACCCCACACAGGCGTACGGGAAGGGCGCTGACTGTGGTAACCACGCAGCTGGGGGGCACCTGTCTCAGTTTAGTCCCCCTTCTTTGCTGGGACGAGGTCCCTGTCCCACAGAGCGCTGGCTCCGGGGTAGCGTTCCGGAGGAGGAGGAAGCAGAATTTCCAAGCACACCCTTGGGGCTGAGATGGCTCCCAGGGGGATCTGCAGAGAAGCCCACTGCAGATGGCCCTGGCCGGCCAGGGGAAACCACCAGCTGCCTCTGGCCACCTGGGGAGGGGGCCAGGCCTCAGAGCAGGTGACAGGGCCTAGCTACCCTCCTGACCACACTCTGGCAGACAGACTGCACGGGACAGCACTTCCGGCAGGAGCAGCTGCCAGGACACTGCTGTGGCAGCAGTGCCCTCTAATCTTCACAATGCCAAGGGGAAGATGCTTGGATCAACAGTGGCTCTCAGCAGGGCCGAGGTGGAGAGGAGACACTGTTCCCCTG